CCAAAAACTATCAGACAAGATGGACGCACAGATGAACATCACCAGAGAGCTGGTAAAGGACATCACGTGGATTAAGGAGGAGATCCAGGAAATCCGAAGGATTCAGGGCCAGCAAACTGAAGTTATTAATAAGACTAGAGCTTCAGATCCTAAAGAAAGGTTATGTGTGTATTGTGCTACAGGAAATCACTCTGAAGACAAGTGTATTTGGAGCTTGCTCAGATGCAGTGAATGCCAGGCAATAGGCCATAATCCATGGGTACATAAGGCGACGAATAAGGAGCTGAAGTCAAGAATTCTGACGACTCATGGAGCGAATTTTTCTTTCACTATATAAATAATGTGAAATAAATGAAGTCTTATTCGAAAAAAGCATGCTTTTTGTTTATTCGTCTGGGAATGAGTAGTTTTTCTGGTATTAATTAGGAGTAATATTTTATTAAAGTTTATAATTAGTTGCGGGATAAAAGTAGATAATAGGTTAATGAATAAAGTGGAGAGTAGGGCTAAGCCTAAAAAAAAAAAAAAAATATGACAAAATTAGTATGTAAATATTAACATTAACTTATTTTTATTTGTCTGAAAATAATTAGTTTTTAGGAAGTTAGGAGTAATATTTTTATTATAGTGGATAATTAGTCTCGAGAAAAAATTAGATAGTGGGTAATTAATAAAGTGGAAAAGTATTGCTAAGCCTAAAAAGTTATTACAAAATTATTTAGTTTCAAATATAGCGACTTAAAAGTCCAGGCTTAGAGCAAAAATTAGTAGAATAAGGATAACCTTAACCTATTAATTTATTTTCAGATATAAAAAAGATTGTGCTTACAATTCAATATGGGTAAACCAAGCAGCAAGGCCAGAGCGATTAAACACAGGATATTGAAGAGATTAATAAAGTCAGGGTCTAATGCTAACTTACTTAAATGTGTGTACTGGAACGCTAATGGAATGCATTGTTTGTGTAAACAGCAAGAGGTTATTGATTTAATGGAAAATGAGTCAGTGGATTTACTAATGGTTGATGAGACGCATTTTAAAAAGGATTCAAACATTGATTTGACAACCTTCTCAAATTACTCACCAATCTTTATAGAACGGGATTTTGGTGTAAAGCAAGGAGGGGGGAAAATGATTTTATTTTCGGACCGAATTAAAGCCACTAAATGGACCCCAACTATGGAAAATAATGAATGGATAAATAGCGAAAGGACATGGATCTTAATACATAATAATAAGTGTAGAATTGCTATATGCTCAGTGTATATGGCTTGCGAGTCAGTTGTAAGTAATGATTTTAAAGAATGGAATGATCAAATTTATGCTGCAATTAGTAAAGAAGTAAATATATTAAAATCTGATGGGTGTAAATGCACAATTATAGGGGACTTAAATGCTCATGTAGGGTTACCACCCAAGGGAATTGAAGGGAACTGGCCAGGGGTAAATCATAATGGCAAAAAATTACTGTCTTTCATTGAAGAGAATGAGTTAGTTATGATTAATAAACATAAGGACATATGTAATGGTACATTCACTAGAATCACCCCACACTCCAGTGCCATACTTGATTATGTCCTGGTAACTCAAAATATGATGAATGATGTCTTAAGAATGGGAATTGATACCGACATCGAGATATTGGCAGGGAGTGATCATGTTGCAATTAGGTTGGATATAAACCTAGTAGGAGGACTAGGTAAAACGCCCGAACCAAAGAAGTATAGTATATCTTTATCAGAGAAAAGGGATATAAAATTAGCAATGAATGCCATGGATATTATGATTGATGAGGTAACTTGGGATAATTTAACACTAAATGAGGCGGGAAATAAACTGCAACAAATTCTAATTGCTTCTAATGTTAATTCGTATAATACTGCACCAGTTTTAAAATGAAAGCCTAGAAATGTATTTAAATTGAAATGGCTTAAAAGGCAAAGAAAAGAGTTAGAGAAAAAAGAAAAGGGTCAATTAATAAAGAAGAGTGGACAGTGGAGGATCAAGAGAGCTTAAATGCAGCTGTTAAAGAAACTCGTGCATATCAGAAACAATTAGCAATTGTTCATTTGAACTTAAGGCAAAAAATACACAAAAATTAAGGTTACAAGATGACGTTAATTTTATTTTGGAGCTTGGTCAAAAAAACAGAGAAAAAAAAGGGGGGACTAACTTCTTTAAAGGGTCCAGACGGTAAAGTGGAAACTGAGCGGGAAAAAGTGGCAGATCTTGCTATAACAGGGTTGGCAAATATATTTAATGGTAAAAAAGTCCAATTTTTGAGTCCCATGGAGAACAGATAATTAAAGAAATTATGGTTAAGAATAGTTTTAATTATGAAAAATGGACTCCAAAAATAAATGATGAATTTAAACATGAGGATGAAGTTTGTGCTCCGTGTTCTATTGAGGAAGTTAAAAAAGTAATAAAAGGGTTGAAAATTAAAAGGGCCCCAGGGGTAGACGGAGTTTTAACAACAATGTTAAAGAATGCCAGTGATAAATTCATATGCCACTTTACTGGGTTAATTAACAACTGTTTCAGAGATGGTGATACACCTCAAGTTTTCAATACAGGGAAAATGACTGATAGATAAGAAAGAACCATCCCTTGAGATTACAAAAAAACAACCTTTAACAGTTTCAAGTGTAATGCTGTGCGTTATAACAAAAATAATACATGCTAGAATAAATATAATTTGTGAACGGGAAGGTTTATATGGAATAATTCAATATGGGTTTCGTAAACAAAGATCAACTACTGATTGTGTTTTCATAATATTATCCGCTATAAAAACGGCCAGAAGAAAACATAAAACGATATCAATTGCTTTCTGTGATATTGCAAAAGCATATGATTCAGTTTGCCGAGAGTTATTGTACACTAAGTTACGCTATTTAGGCTTTGGCGGAAGAGTGGTTTCTATAATTAGAAGCATGTATTACAATGATTCAGTTCGAATAAGCCTGGAGTAAGGAGTAGCGGAACCACTCTACTTCACACAAGGAGTAAAACAGGGGTGTAGTTTATCCCCCCTACTGTTTTCTCTATACATAGCACAATTAGGCACAGCTTTACATAGGTCCAATTTAGGGATAAACATAGGCGCAGAATTGATTACAGCTCTTTTTTTCGCTGACAACCTGGTACTAATCTCTGGAACACCAAGAACAGGGATGATAAAACTGCTAAAATTAGTGAATAATTTTTGCAAAGATAATAAATTGAGTTTATCATTTCAAATGCGTCATACAATATAAGCTGGCCTATCAATGAAGAAACAATTGAACAAGTTTTAGTAGCTAAGTACTTAGGAGTTAATATTCAATTAAGAGGTCGATCAATGATCGGCCAGTATGAAGAACTAATGATAAACAGAGCTACAAGTTACGCTTATTCAATAATGAACCTGACCAGGGGGGGCCTAGATAGAGCCCTTATAGCTAAAAGAATTTGGGAAACATGTGCCATCCCAGCTATTTTGTACTGTGTTGAAGCTATTTCAATTAAGAAAAGTACAGTAATGGAACTTGAAAGGATACAAAATATGGTAGGAAGGTTTATATTACAAGTTCCCGCTTCAACTTCAAGAGCACTAGCCTGGATGGATGCAGGATTAATGCCTATGCAGTATAGAATTTATTTAAGACAGTCCGGGTTTATATTTGATATATTTAAAACAAAAAATAATCCCACACTGTTAAAAATATTAAGGGAGCAACTGGATAACCCATCAGACCCATGGACTAAATCATGGAGGAAAATTGAAGCAATGGTGGGTAATATCTTCAAGTATAAGACAAAAAAGCTCCTACTAACCGTTGTTACACGAAAAGCAGTAGCATATGTAATGAATGTAAAAAGGCAACATTCAACCTTAATTACAACCCCCCAACCTTGGAATTGGTTTAAAATACAAAACCATGTTAATGATACTAAATCAAGTAAAATTTTATGCCAAGTAAGAGGGGGTAATGCTCAGCTGGGCAATAGGTATAAAAACCGTTATGGATTTATTTATGATGTTTGCCCCCACTGCGAGTTATAAGGCCTCAATATTAAGTTAACAGAATCTCATGTTATATTTGAGTGTCCAATAGTAGCCAAGCTCAGAAGAGATTTATACATTTCAAATTTTATGTCTAAGTTTAAAGCAACAGGCCCAATAGCTAATGTCCGGGTTTTAAGAGCTTATCTTGGCGGAGATGGTTCAACAGGACAAACCCTAATGGTAAGAGGTAAGAAGCTGGGTAATATGATTGAATCATGGCTCACAACAGTCCATGAACCACTTTAGTAACAAACATTCCACGCCATATTTACTTTCACAATGCTAGTTCTTATACTAATAAGTTAAAAAAGTATATTTATGGTTTAAAGTGTTCCAGTATTACTGACTGTATTTAACTAATTCATTGGCAAAATGGAATGAAGGCACCTGGGAGCGATATGAAATGATGATCACGGCAATCCCAGTAAGAACAGTCAGTTTTGCAGGTACAATAAATAGAAAGTTTTATTTACCGGTTCAATACTGAACTTTCCCTGGTCAGGATAACTTAAACCAACCAACAAACCAATCAATGGAAGTGTGTACCATATCCTGTAAGTGCTTGCAAAGCAACCCCTTTATTTCTCCCCTAGTATCCACGCTTATCTGGCATACACATTGAATCCTAAAAAATTCAGGCCAGATCTGAACCACTTGATCCCATATAGACCAGGGAAAGTGGCGGAGCCCTATCTTCAATGTGTTCCAGCCTACAGGTCGTAATACGTTGTCTGTAGGTTGATTGTTAATAATAATAATAATACTAAATCAAAGAATTATTTAAAAAGACGATATCGAATTCGTCACTGAATTCCCATGTCTATTGGGACACCCTGTACTTTAATCCCATTTCATGGTGTATTGCTTACCTTATATTTTCACACATATCACTCCTTTCTTCTATATCTTCCTGACATACTTTAATCACATTTCATGGTGTATTCCTTACCTTATATTTTCACACATATCACTCCTTTCTTCTATATCTTCCTAAACATTATATCGAGTTAAGCTTAATAATAAATTTTGCACAATCAATCAATTATTGTGCAAGGTTCAGAACAGTGCATGTTAATTAAATTCAGTGCGATTCCCTCATTTTTCCGTACTTCTGTTAAGATGCAAATTCTAGAGTCTAATTTGAACAATTTAATTTCTTATGAAGCACATCCCTGTCGCCATCAAAATCCGAGAAATTTTGACTTTAAAAAATAAAAGCTGTTGAAAAATTAATTTTTCTTATGTAATAAATTTTGACTAATATTCGGACTTTTCCCTTGGATACAGTCGGACTTGAGTTGTCCTATGGTCCGCATGGTTTGTCACAATGTTTAGATTTAATAAAATAAATAAATGAACATATTTTGAAAAAAATAGAAAATCTATTTATTTTCTCTTTGACTACAGGGTTACTCATAAATGATGAGACTTCATAGACGATTGTACGGAATTTATACTGTCTGTTTTCTCATATTTGTGATTCCCTGCAACTGTAAACTTGTTTCTTTTTTGCCTGATCATTGATTAAGCCAGATTATATTTATGACAGAAGACTTGTTTTAACCTCTGAATCGTCAAATTTAAAGAGTTTCAGGTCGTCTTTACAGTCTCATCTTTTGTGGGTAACCCAGTAGTAGGGTATACCTGATTTAGCTGAGTAAGGGAAACTATCTCCTGAATCTGATCCTCTACAAACGAAATAAAAACATTTTTCAAAATCAAGATTTAGGCATTATTTACATTATCAATACTATTTTTTTAAACTATCTAAATACATAATTTATCGATCAGAATTTGATTAAAATTTTCACATTATTACATGTACACCAATATCCTGGACCAATTCCCCTTGGATCGAAACTGTTGGGGTTACTAAATAATGGAAAAAACTTTCTTCTGCAGACCAACCTAAGTAAAATTAAGCTCTTACAAAAGATAGAAATATGTAACCTAGCCAGTCTATCCCTTTACTCTAAAACTCTAAATTGCAACATGAAAAATGAAATTATCTTGTTTTCCTGGATCAAAGATTAGTGAGAGCTGTAGCTTGATCTCATTCAGGTTTACGCCAGGACAGGCGGGGGGACTATTATTATTTTATATCTTATTTCATATATTCCATTTTTCTATGTTTTGAATTTTCTTAACAATACTTAAACAAACAGAGGTCTCTATTGTGTTTCGTCTACATTTTAGATTCAAAAACTAATCTTTTAATTTTGGACAATTTCATTTACTAGGCATTTAAGTAGGTTTATGTAAGCTAAATCATCAAGCCTGACTTGAAATAAAATAATATAAAATAATGTTCCTTGGTGATCTACGCATTGCTTTGAAACTCCTTTCTTCTACGTGTATCTATATATTAGGACAATCTATTAATTTTGAGACTCCTTACGGAACTTATACATACTGAAACTAAACCTCTAATTTTAATATCCTTGTATCCAGCCCAGCAACCTAATGTCGTAGAGCTTTGATTTTTTTAAACTACGAATTCTGCAACTCAAAGTCAGGATTCAAAGATATAGGGATTTGAAAATAAGAGTTTTAGGCAAGTGTGAAACAGGACTAAGAGTGCACCAAGAAGACTTGGTAGAAGTTACAGCATGGAATGAAATTAATTGTTTTCCTGCTGAAAGCGTGGTGGGGAAGTGTCCGGGATTTGAATATTGTGTTTGCTCCTCATATCTCTAAACCAGATTGAAAACGTGATTATTCTTTAGATAATTTTAGATAATAATAGATAATAATAGATAATAAAAGATAATAAAAGATAATAATAGATAATAATAGATAATAATAGATAATAATAGATAATGACATTATTATTTTAAGAGGACAATTTTAAATACACAGGGTACTATAATAATAATAATAATATTAAGAAGATCTGAAAGGGAACCCGACATGGAACCCCTAGATCACATTCAGGGTATAGTGCATCTACATGCTGCGCCTGGCTGGCACCATAAATAGGAACCTGAGTCTATATCTATATATATATATACTTTGCTTGACTGTCTGTCTTTCTGTCTGTTTGTCTACTTGTTTTTATCAAAAGAAAGTAAAACCGGCTGAACCGATCGGGCCCAAGTTTTGTGTGGCACCTCACATGATCCCAGGGATGGTTTATGGATGCAGAGAATTAAAAACAATTGCCTCCGAACATTTTTGATTTTGGAATTTTTTTTAATCCACTAAAAATATTATTAACTTTGTTGCTTGTTATTGTTTTATATTGTATACAAAGATGAGCCACAATTAAAATTTGAAATAGTTGGTGGGCGCCAAGCGCCCTAAAAGCCTAGTACTGTAAAAATGTTAACCTCGAGAGAATCTGTATGACGGATTCCTTGGATTCAAACTCCACAATCAGATGGTGCAACCTATCCTAGAATTAGGTTTATGATAATCATAAATCAGATGATGCAACTTATCCTAGAATTAGGTTTATGATAATCATATATATCAGATGGTGCAACTTATCCTAGAATTAGGTTTATGATAATCATATATATCAGATGGTGCAACCTATCCTAAAATTAGGTTTATGATAATCATAAATCAGATGGTGCAACCTATCCTAGAATTAGGTTTATGATAATAATAGATCAGATGGTGCAACCTATCCTAGAATTAGNGACAAGTAATCGACAATTAGGTTTCTTCATGATGATGATATATATCAGATGGTGCAACCTATCCTAAAATTAGGTTTCTTCATGATGATGATATATATCAGATGGTGCAACCTATCCTAAAATTAGGTTTCTTCATGGTAATCATAAATCAGATGGTGCAACCTATCCTAGAATTAGGTTTATAAATTATAAAAACTGGATCAGATTTAGTGATAATTTAACGTTAGAAAATCAACCTGAGCTGGCAACTTTTGAAATATCTTTAGATTGAAATAGGTGAACTATTTCATTCATCAAAATTAGTTAGAGTTTGGAGGTTTTACAAGCGTGAAACAAAGAAACGGGTTACTCATTTTAACCTTTTTTAGCTATTTCCATCAATTAGAAAGTTCTTGAATTTTGTATAAGACATAAAAGTAAAAAGATATTAATCATATTACCTTAAAATTTCTATCCCATCCAACCAGTATGTTTACAACTGTCCCAAACTAAATAATTTATTGTATTAAATTATAGCATCATTCGGTATTTCATGAGCTGTAGCCATTTTTGCGATCCTACTTATAAAATACATAATATTTCTTGGATCTAAGATTATCCATTCTGATATTTGTTTTGATTTATGAAGAAGGAAAGTCTGCATACAAAGTTTAAGGGCAAGTACATTTTTCAATTTATAAATGCTTTCCTCCTTAAAACAGTATTTTTTGTGTGTTGTGTGCACTAATAAACATAATAACAAGTCAATCATCATTATGTTTAAGTCAAGGCTGAGCTCCATTAAAAATAACCATAAATAAGATTTTTGTTCTCTCGACAAACCAGCAAGTTGGAAAAGAAGTTTACACCGTCACTTAATATGGTTGTTCTAATACAAACCTGAGCCATGTAAATCTGAACTGAGGATACATTTAGTTCCTTCAGTCTGGTTACATAAATAGTCTATAATGGATAAATGATGTTCTTGCAAACTCTTAAAAATATAACTGTCCTCATTCCAATTTGAGCAAATAAATATCTCAATTATGCTTAGAACATTTATCCATTCCTTGCCCTCTTGCTTCTCTTTATTATACTCCTGGTGTTGTCTTTTTATGTGCTTTTTTCCTTAATAAATACAATTAGTTGCATTCATAATCCATTAATAAATACAATTCATAATCCATTAACTGATTACAATTCATAATACATATATTTATCCAATTCTTAATCCATACATTGCTTCCATTGATAATCCATTCCTCGATTCAATTCATAATTCATATATTGCTTCAATTCATAATTCATAATTCATACATTTATCCATTTATAATCCATACATTGGTTCAATTCATAAACCATCAATGGATACAATTCATAATTCATACAATGCTTCAATTCATAATTCATAATTCATACATTTATCCATTTATAATCCATATATTAGTTCAATTCATAATCCATTCCTCGATTCAATTCATAATTCATACATTCCTTTAATTCATAATTCATAATTCATACATTTATCCATTTATAATCCATACATTGGTTCAATTCATAATCCATCTATGGATTCAATTCATAATCCATTCATTGATCCAATTCATAATTCATTCATTGATTCAATTCACAATCCATTCATGGATTCAATTCATAATCCGTACATTGCATCAACTCAATCCCATACATTCAAAATAGATTTCAAATCTTTACATTGATTCAATTAAAAATGTATACGTTGATTTATTCATAATCCATACGTTTCTATATATATTAAGAAAATTTCTTATTTTTTATGCAGATTAGATTACCTGAGAAATGTTGATTAATCTGCTCTGGAGCTGTTAAATGAACATTGCAGAGGGCGCATGTCATTCCTAACAACAGTTGAGCTTATAATAAAGCATATTTGGCAGCATTACACCCCCCCCCCCCCCCCCCCCCCCCCTCCCGGGGGAAATGATCATCAAAAGGCAAGTTTTTTAATTTCTTTTGATAATAATTTTCAGTTTGTAAAGTATGAACTTGCAAAACAAGTCTAAAAAGATACAAGAGCAACTGAAATTATGACTAGATGATTCGGTTTTCATTTCCAATCGATGACTCTGAAAAATTTATTTCATAAGAACTTAGGATTAGAATAAGTCTCCATTCCTACGGGCACCATTGTTACTGAACAAGTCTTCTAGTATTCTAAGTTCAAACCCCTGATCTTTAACTCATCTTTGGACTCTGAAAAACAATTCATGCTACAGGACAGGATTAAGAATTAAGGAGATAATTTGTATGAATAGAGAAAACGGTTTGGAAGTCTAGAAGGTTTCATCAGGTTCGGAAATCCAGATCTTTTGGTTTTTTCAGGTCTGGAAATCTAGATCTTTTGGTTTTTTTTTCAGGTTTGGAAATCTAGATCTTCTGATTTTATCCGATTTGGGAATCTAGATCTTCTGGTTTAATTAGGTTTGGAAATCTAGATCTTCTGGTTTCATCTGGATTGGAAATCTATATCTTCTGGTTTTATCTGGTTTGAAAATCTTGATCTTCTGGTTTTATCAGGTTTGGAAATCTAGATCTTCAGGCTTAATTAGGTTTGGATACTCATCTAATATAGATCTTCTATCCACAAGTGAATCTCTGGCTTTCCCTGTCTTCCTCCTAAAATGTAAATAAGAGGAAAAATGAAAAACCCAAAAAACAAATGATAAAATAGAAGATAAAATTTCTAGCAAGGTAATATGCTGAGAAAGAATCAAAATCACGGACACGTTAGGAAAGGAGAGATCAAGGTAAAGGACGTATCAAGGCAAGGAGAGATCTAGGTAAAGGACATATCAAGGCAAGGAGAGATTAAAGTCAAGGAGAGATCAAGGTCAAGGAGAGATTAAAGTCAGGGAGAGGTCAAAGTCAAGGAGAGGTCAAGGTCAAGGAGAGATTAAAGACAAGGAGAGGTCAAATTGAAGGAGAGGTCGGGGTCAAGGAGAGATTGAAATCAAGGAGAGATCAATTAATTAAAGAGATTTTTTTGTCCCCAGGACATGATCGGGTTGTTACGATCAAATCTCGGAATTTTTTCTATTGCGAAAGTTTGGTGTTGTCTGGGTTTATATTGATCTACCAGGGGTTGTAATCTGGCAGCACATTCATCCATCCACGCTTCATTCATACTGAGAAGAGGGTTAACAAGATTCCAGCTGCCAAAGATTCTTCTTAGGCCTGAGAATATTGAGTGCAGGAATCCTTCTGATATACTGGAATAAGGCCCGGGTGCCATACTGATACCTATAGCTGGCAACCATTCCTCTCTTCATCATCATTCACTTGGATCAATCCCCTTAAAGCTTCTTTCTTGTTGAGTAGAAAGCACGCACTCTTTCGCTGCAAGAGTTGTTGACAGCCGCCCCTCTGTCCTCCTACATCCGTCAGGTGGTCATAACTGCTTAACCAGATGTCGGCTTCAGATGTTTATGAAACCACAGGCTTGTGTGGAGTACGGGAATCGAACCCGTGAATACCAGTCTGGACACCAATCCAGTTACTGGCTGTGGAGAAGTGTGCTTAACTTCAGTGATCTAACGAGAACTGGTGTCACACACTCTCCACCCTACCCCATCAAAAAAAAAATCAAGGAGAGATCAAAGTTAAAGAGAGATCAATGTTAAGGAGAGATCAAAGTCAAGAAGAGATTAAAATCAAGTGAAGATCAAAAATAAGGTGAGATCAAGGTCAAGGACATATTAAGGCAAGGAGAGATAAAAGTAAAGAGATTAAAATCGAGGAGAGATCAAAGTCAAGGAGAGGTCAAGGATAGATTAAAATCAATGAGAGATCAAAGTCAAGGATACATTAAATCAATTAGAGATCAAAGTCAGTAAGAGATCAAGGTCAAGGAGAGATCAAAGTCAAGAGAGATTAAAACCATGGAGAGAGCAAAGTCAAGGACAGATTAAAGCCAAGGAGTGATCAAAGTCAATGAGAGGTCAAAGTCAAGGAAAGATTAAATCAATGAGAGATCAAAGTCAGTAAGAGATCAAGGTTATGGAGAGATCAAAGTCAAGGAGAGATAAAAGTCAAGGAGAGATTAAATCCAAGGAGTTATCAAAGTTAAGGAGAGATCAAAGTCAAGGAGAAATCAAAGTCAAGGAGAGATCAAAGTCAAGGAGAGATATCAAAATCCAGGACAGATCAAATTTAAAGGATCAAAATCAAGTTTCCTTATTTATCAGAATTCTTATCTAATTTTATAATAATTAGTTTTTTTAAACTTCAAATATTTAGTTTTTACCTCGGATGTTGTATTCCATGCTGTTCCTTTAAATGTGCAGTTAACAGAGACTCCTGAAAACAAATTGATTTCAAGTTTAGAATTTATTTCATTCACAATAGAAAAAAAACAGATAGTTAATATTAACCTTAAAAAACATCTGTTTACATTGTGAGCAGAAATATTTCTTCTGTACCACCTCACCCAGATGTTCTACTCTTCTAAATAAAAAAAAATTTAAATGAAAGAGACCATTAAATTTATTTTGTCACTTTTTACGAATTTTCATTAATAATAGTTAACAATTAAATGTAAAAGCCTCTCTTTTTAACAAGAAAACGTTATCAAAAACACTCACAAGATCCTGTGATTATTTAATTTAGTTAAAACTATTTCTTAGAATGATTTTAGATGGTTTTTAAGAATCAGAAAAATCATTCTCTCGATTTCTAAGGGGAGGGTGAGTTTGACCAATTTGAATACATTTGGGAATCTTGTCTTTATTTTGTTTTAGGAATCTGAATGAATTTTTGCATATGAGCATCATTTGTGTTGTGGGGGTAAATTATTTCCCCCACTTTTTTAAAAGCTTTTTTTACCAAAAAAATCTGCTTCGAAGACAAGCTAGCTTGGTGTTCTAAACACCTACCTACGAGTCAAAAATCTCTAGATTCATGGATTCAGTTTTCATTGAAAATAAAAAAAATCTTTTGCAAACTATTAAAAAAAAATTGTTAAAGCTTTTTTACCTATAAGTCTGATAGGCTAGGTGTTTTAAACATTCAAGTCAGGTAAACGGCGGGAGTAACTTTTAGTAACCTTGGCAGTGTTGGGTTCCCAAGCTAGTACATTATAAAGGAATTGTAATTTAACTTAATAAATATAGTTTCTTGAAGAAAAAAAGAAAACTCTGTTAGCTTTATCTGATAATGAGTTTAATCGCACAACTTGTAGTTCTGTAAAGGATTAAAAATATCATAAAAAAGGGAATAGTCCCGAAAATTTATTAGATGTTCCAAACGGACAGAACAACCACCAACATGCATAGAACTCTCTACCCTCCTCATAACATACAATGAGTATTTGGCATCATATGAAAAAGCAAAGAAAATTATTTGAAACTTTTGTTTTATAGAAAAAATGTTGAGTCGTAAGATTAGAAACCTAAGATGGAATTTAAAGAATTTGAGCCCGCGGTTTAAATCTGCCAAAGCCCGGTTTAAATTAAGCGCCGGCTTAAATCTTGAAAAATTTGATACAATTTTAAGTGGAACCAACCATATTTAAGTCCGAGGCTTTAATTTAAACCGCCGCTCAAATTCTTTAAATTCGACCACTGATTTTATCGTAATCTACTCTTTGTACATGTTCATAACAAACCAATGTTACCAATATTATCCAATTTTACCTGTGTCTTCTCATTGTTGAAATAAATTTAAACTGTTTATCACACTCAGGACAAATTGCCTGAAAATTATTGGAATTGCAAAATTTGTATCTACAATGATTTTTATATACAATTTTACACTGTCAGTGTACACTGTAAACTGTTTAGTCCTCTCTAAATAAGGAATAATATAAAATTGATTGATAAATTTAAAGTCGTCTTAGACCTTAGAAATAGCTTGCAGCATGCGATTGGTTTTTATGAAACAATAACACAAAATACTCTTCATCCTTTCGACATTTTCGAAATGTGGTCTGCCATTTTTTTTGCACTCAAAAATGCTAGAGATAATAAAATTTTGTTTACATTTCAATTATTAAATAAAACAATGAAATTTTATAATTCTGAAAGAAATCGTTCATATCTCCGATACTTTAATAAGTATTGCTAAAATCAGGTGTCTTTAATGAATGTCACAAACTTTTTTCAAGGTCAAAGAAGACTTTGCAGTTATCAATATATCTGTACATTGCACATGTTAAAATATTTGCCATGAATTTATTTACCTTGGGGTTTTTATAGTTATGATGCACCACTAGAATATGTCTTTTCAAGTGTGAACTGTAGATAAATGAATTCTCACAAAACTTGCAGGAAAATCTTCGGATACCTTTTAAGAGGGAGGAATTATCAAAATCACATTATTCACAAAAAAAGATTTATGATTTTATGATTTTATGATTTATAATTTTCTCTTTCACCAACCAACAAACAAACAGTCAACTTTTATTCCGTAGATGTAAAGGACTAAGTCTAATACTGATAACTAATAAGAAAAAACAGGGTGTCCCATTTACAGTAGAGACACGACTTGTAGGTCGTCGTTAATCTATGAAATAAATTGAAGCATTCATTCGTCAATCTGCTTTCAAATGTATAATTTTTACATATTCTAAAAATTCCGCTAGTCATGGGATTTCCAAAATGTTGACTACCTTTTTTGTGTTCTTATTATTAAAAATCTTCAGATTTCGAAATTTTTTTGTTATTTTATAAAATGATATTTGAATAAATTCTTAACATCTTCTGTAATACTAAAGCACAAAAAAGGCAGACCACATTTTGGAATGCCAAGATCTGGGGTACTTAAGGAAAACTAATTCGAGAGTTTTGTTTCTAAAATTAGGTCGACAAATGTATGCCACCAATTATTACAATGATCAAAGACAATATTCTAGTTATCTCTCTACATTTTCGTGGGACACCCTGTATGTTCTTGATTAAACAATTTTATTTTATGTAATAAAATCATAAAAAATGTTTTAAAAAGAATCAAGAAAATGAAATGATTAATCACAGATATCACCCCCCTCCCCTCCCCTTCACCTTGTGTAATGAACATACAGTATAAAGAAAGGAATTTACCTTCATGAATTGTTTCCACGTGAACTTTGAGCGCATTTGCCGAGCAAAGTGTTTTCTCGCAAATATGGCATTGGAGACGGTCTGGTTTAATTCCTCGATGCATGTTCAAATGCTTTGAAATATTCTGCACTAAATAATAAATAAAAATAAACATGTGTTGATGATAATGATCAGCTCTACGACATATTCTGCTTTAAATAATAAATAAAAATAAACACGTGTTGATGTTTATGATCAGCTCTACGACAAGTAATCGACAATATTTTTTTTAATTGGTGCAAAAGGCGACAAAAACATAATTTTGAACTTTAATTTTTAAGTAAACAGGGCGAGTCAAAACTATTGTTGTTTTACACAACAGTATAAAAATGCAGGATCATATTCTTGGTTGAAAAATATTTGAAGAAAGTGAAAAAAAATTGCAAAAATAGTGTGTAACATTTAGTTGGGGATTTTTTTACGTACCAAAACATATTTATGCAGTTTCACATATCAATATATTTAAATCTAAAACAAGGAGCCTGCTAAACTTAAGGCAAAAAATAACACTATTACCAGTTTTTCTAACTAAACCTGTCTATCAAATATATATATAATAATAGTAAAGTAATAATAAACTTCAAACCTTGGAAACTTCCAAACCTGATTTTCCACATTCAGTGCATAGTCTATACTTCTTGTTCTCCCTAGCAGAACATATTGGGCAGAACTCTAGACCATCCAATCCATTGAACAGTGGAGGTTTACACCTATAGTGGAACCTGCAGTACATATTGATTTAATTGTGTGTACATAACTACTTGTGGAACATATTGGGCAGACCTCTAGACCATCCAATCCACTGAACAGTGGAGGTTTACACCTATAGTGGAACCTGCAGTACATATTGATTTACAGTGTGTGTACATAACTACTTATAAAACATGTTGGGAAATAGAAATTGAATATATTTATTTGAAATTGTCAAAAAGATTAACTACAATATTGTCAAATTAATTTAAACGCATAATAATTGGAATTTGAAAATAACTACAAGTAAAAGATAACAAATCAAATTAAATTAAGAAGCCAGATATCTGCAAAAGTTTTGTATCAACTGTTAACTTTGAATTGGCCACAGGCCTCCGCCGTTACCATTGGTTTGACTTTACCAACCTACTTGTACCTTAGCCCTGAGTAGTGGGTATACAGATTTTAAAACTGGAAAATGTTTCTTATCCTTCAGATTCAGGTTTAAAGGAGCATTAGGCAAACTCCAAATAGACTTTGACTTCATACTGACGTAACAGGGCTTTAAAGCTCTTCCAACTAGTTTTCTACAGGGTTACCCACAAAGAATGAAACTTCAGAGACAACTGCAAGGAATTTAAATTGTCTGTTTCCTAATAATCATTCTCTGCAACTGTAAATTTGATTCTTTCTTTAATAAATCATTTATTAAGCTATTAAAAAAAATACACTCGACAGAAGAGTTAACTTTAGCCTGGATAGTCATATTTTAAGTTTTAGGCCTTCTTTACAGTCTCATCTTTTATGGGTAATCCTGTAAATAATCAAGCGAAGCAAATTATTAAAAAAATGTACTCACCGTGCGTGGCATTTTCTTAAGGGACATCCCATAATTTCCTCGTCACTAAAGCGGTCTGAGCACAGAGCACACTGAGCGCTCTACATTCATGATTATTCTTTTCAAAACAAAACAGAAACAAAAATATTGAAGGGCATTCCATCCATTTTCATCAATATCTCATTTCACTATTTGAAAAGAGAATGTTTCTAGATTTTTTTGTCCCTGAATTTTGGGGATTTATTGTTTGGTGTGTAAAAAAAAATATGCAACAAGCATGCAATTTTTTATTTTTCGCTCAGAAATGTTAGACAAAATATATACTTAACCTAAAAACTGTGAAAGCACGGTGTTTATTCCATTTCTTTATTCTAAACTATATTTAAATAAAGAATGATTTCCTGTATTGGTTCCTGTTTACCATCTTTCGGGTTCCGTTTATCACTTGATTTATCTTTTCCAGCTGTCTTGTTAGTCAAGAATTCAGAATACTGAGCAGGATGAAATGCTTTTATGTGAGTTATCAATCCTAAAAAACAATCTGCCTATTATAGTATCAATTTAACTTTGAATAAGGAAGATTAAAAAGTTTAAAACAATTATTATTAAATTGTTACAAAATCCTTAAGTTCATTCATTCAACATCAATATTCATTCCCATCAATATTTCAACTTTAATTCAAACCTTTAAAGGGACCGTTCACTTATTTAGGTAATTTCGGTGTAAACTGAACAGCATATTAGCTGTTAACTGGTATTAGTCTTACTTTTCAAAGACAACTGTGGCCGGAGAAAAGGCCAATTTTTCGTTCAGAATTCGAGCGCAAAGGGACGGTCCCTTTCTCTATACACTATTTGATGTTTTTTTTCGATGTTCTGAATTAAAAAAATTTCTAATATAAAATTAAACTGTAGTATCTAAAAACCAATTGTAAATGTCATAATTTTAAAATTTTTTTTACTTTCTATTTTCTAACATAACATTTTTAGCGCACTGAACATTTTGTATTGCTTCTCCGTAAAATGCTGAATAGAACTCAGCATAAAAAGTGAAAGGTTGCGCGCATATGGGAAAGGGATTATAAATTATCATTGGGTAGTTGATAATAAATTAGACAACTGATTGAAGGGTGTCTTCATCCGGGGGGGGGGGGGTAGAACTAGGATTTTAGACCTTTCTGGCAATAACAGATATCGGTTGATAAACTGACAGAGCTGACAGAAACTATTTCACATTGCTCACAAATGCATCATTGCAAGAAAGATGTATATTTTATTTACATCGAACGCGGAGTTGAGTCTAAGAACCAAAATTGCGTAATGATTAATTGATTGTCACGTTTTAATATGAAAACGTAAATTTAAACTTAAATATCAAAAGTTTTCATATTTTAGTATATAACAGCTAACACACAATGACATTGAAATATGATAAATTAAATTTTTTGTTTTGACTGTTGTTGCTGAAAAAAACGTCTAGTTTAGTGTTTCAGACAAAGGAACCGTCCCATTGCGCTCGAATTCTGAACGAAAAATCGGCTTTTTCTCCGGCCACAGTTGTCTTTAAAAAGTAAGACTAATACCAGTTAACAGTTAATAGGCTGTTTAGTTTACCATGAAATTACCCAAATAAGTAAACGGTCCCTTTAAATGACCTTTATTCAGCCTTTAAATGGACTTTTGACGTAATAACAAGTGACATTTTATTTGAAGAGTAATAACGAAAAATAACGATGCTATTTACACCTACATTTAAGTAACAGTGAGGAAGATATCGTTAAAATCAAGTGTTGCATTCTCTTGATTTTTTCATACTGAGAAACCAAAGTTTAAAATAGTCAATTTTAAGTTTGAAATAAAATGATATCTCGATCATAGTTTATCAGACAAAGAGGTTTAAAGGGTACCGATGATAATCGGACATGATATCCTTTACATGGAGGGTCACTTGAAATTACCCCTTCAAGCTTTCTTAAATAAACAACAACATTTTTGTCCTCTGGACTTCCCGGAAAACTTTTTGACATGTTGAAAAAAAAATTTTTTAAGAAGGGTAAAATGTTTTAAAAATATATTCCTTTCACACCAAGAATACCTTTAGTGGATCCAACTTTAGTTGAGATTATAGCAGAGCACTGTAAACAACAAGCTTTCTCGGAGGAGACAGGTTTAAAGAACTTCCAGGCAACAGATCTCTTCTCTAATACAAGTTCAGATTAATTATTTATTTATTTATAATAACGCGTCTACATTTTCAACCTTAAAAGCAACAGATACCCAGTACCACCCTTACGTCCGACAAAATACTATCATGTGGCATCCTTGCGTACTGTATGTGATATGCAGTACTATGACCAAAGAAATAGTGGGATTTAGTAGAGAGTGAGAAATGGACTGTAAGCAAAAGCATTGTAAAATGGTTTATGCCTGGGCGAGTGGGAAGCATACAGTGCAGTAGTCCTGAATATTATTGTCAGGGGCAGATACAGGGGGCAGTGCCCCCCCCAGACCTGTAAAGGTGGGAGCCCCCCCCCCCGTAGAACTCAGAGCGTTCACACTTATCAAATCTTAAACTGGAGAGTGAAGAACATAAAAAAAACTAGTTTGCTTAATTATAAGTGACAACATTGTTCTGCAATTTCCTTGACTGTAGTCGTGTTGTCTGTCTGTACCAAATGAGTGTGTGTAAGGTTTACCGAACTTGTCTGCAAAGCAGTGCGATTGGCTTTCTCATGCCAGACCAGCGCCATTTCCTTTCCCTTTATTCCTATTACCTGCCTTTTATCAGAATGGCATGTCCTATTCAAAACGATACCCTTTAAATATTTATCTAAATAAAAATAAGGAAGATATGCCATTCTATAAGTTATGTCTCCAGTTCGTTAAAGTTTAGAATAGGACATAATTTCATTTTTCAATTGATATAAAAAATAAAATTCATTTTATAAAAGCATAGCGGGTCCGTCCTGGAGAACGATTTTTGGAGCCCCCCCCCCCTCCTCCCTACTATCAATTTTGTAAATTTATTTTTTTATTATTGAGGGTTAGGTTAGATCAATTTCTGGGCCTTGCGCTGCTGCGGCTAGGACAGGCTAGGGGGCCGGGTGCCGGCCACATGATCAATTATACAAATGTACAAAATTGATAGGAGGGGGGGGGGAGGGGGTCCAAAAATCGTTTTCTAGAAAATTACCAGCATAGCTCTTCAAAGATGCGAAGTGCAAAATATTCACGTTTACTATGTTACCTGTATTTCGCAAAGTGTGCTGAGGTTGAGCCAAAAACTCTGCTTTACTAGAGTCCTGTTTTCTCTTCAGCTCTTCATAAGATGAATTCAAGACTGGATGCTGAAAACACAAATTATACTTTTAAACAATAAATACTTCTTGCTTTTGTAAAAATGATTTGTTTAATACAAGACAACATTTAAACAACAATTTGAAACAAACTTAATTGATTTCTTAATTTCCAAGTCAGATCTGCTTGTCTTAATCTTGGGATTGGAGAATATTCTTTAAAAGATTTAAATTTGAAAATAACAGAATACTGCGTAACTGTGAAGAAAGCTCAAATGAATTTTTTTCAATCTTTTAGCAGTGCCTAGGATCCATTTCATTTTGATGCGTACCCGGATCCGCCCTGAAAAAATTGGATTTAAGATTCACTGATTTCTTAAACAAAAAAAAGAATTTTAAAATCATTTTTCTTCTTTTTTTCCACTTACTTTTAAGCTAAAACTTAATAAAACATTTAGAGGTAAGGACATTTATAAAAATCTTTCTTTGTAAAAAGTTCAGAATTTGATTAAGAGAAAAGAATCTTAGTTTTTAGTTGATATTTTGCCCCTTAGTTCCGAATCCGTAGATCCAGAAATTTTTTCGGATCTGATTCAAGAAACGTAAAATTGCGGATCCATCCGATGGATCCGGATCCATCCGATGGATCCGGATCCTAAATACTGCCTTTTAGGTAAAGATAAGATTTTTAAGTATTTTGAACTTTGTGAACTGGCAAAAACGATTCAGAATTTGATAATTATTAATCAATGTTTTCCTTAGATTTGAGATGAACCACTAAAGATTTAGAGCTAGCATTCTTAGCTGACAGTTTAGCTTCACACTCCTTACACAGCAATTTGTAAATTTTCTGTTCACGTAAAGGAACCTGTTACATGCACGTTCTACAACCTTACCATTTAAACATGAGCCATTGTTTTCCTCTGTGAAAGTTGAAATTTAAGTTATAGAACCTTGACACGATTTGAACGGCTATTTAGAACTATGAAATGAAAGAAAGAACTATTTTATAAGAAGGCATAGTATCACAGTTCTAAATAATATGAAGGGGTGGGGGGGGGGGTATTTTCAATGAACAATGTCAAGAAATTCTCTCTTTAAATTTTGTATTCATAAATTTTCCTTGCAGCTAACATAGTTGTTTTCGACTTGCGTAAAGAAATCCCAAATAACAGATTTCCTGATTTTCTTTTTCTCTTTCATTAGAGTTGGCTGGTGAGGGGGTTCACCAACCTCTTCATAATCATCAGCATTATCATTATCGTCATAGGCTTCACCAGTCTTAACAAAACAAGAATTAAGGACCTTGTCCAATATTGGGGTATATATATTATGAAAATGATAGCACTCAAAACTTATGAACCAGTACACACGTTTGTATAGAGAATATGAGAATAAGAGCTTGATATGAGAATTAGAGCTTAATATAAAAAATGTTGACCAAATCAAAAACTAAAGTTAGACAAGGTGTTCGTCATTGTGTTATAGTTTAATTCTTTTATTTAAGTTCATGTAAAGAAATTATCCATCAACAAAGAAATTCAGAGTGGGGGGGGAAGGTTGGAGGGGGTTTCAGCGCTAATAGTTCATAATAATTTAAAATTCGATGGTGGTGATGCACCAAACCTCCTAATAATATTTTTTTTGTCAATCCTAGGTTCTCTAAGAAAAAACAATGTGAAATGAAATTTTAGTTGCGTTTGGTTTAAAAATTGTGCCAATATTTAATAAAAATTACTAAAACAAAACTGTTAAAAAGTTAAATGTTTTATAAATTCCTGTACTTGGTCCAAAAACAACGCAGGATCGTTTTCAGGATCACGAAACTGATTGCCCTCGCTGTTCTTAGGAACAGACAATGCTGTTTCCATTTTAATGCTGCTCCTGCTCCTGCTTGGTTTCATCTCCTGTTCTTCAGGACACAAACTGGAATCAGCAATTCAAATATTTTTTCAATTTTATTTAACAAATCAAATCACAAAAAACTGAAAATAATCGATAAATACGATATCTACAGCTCTTAAAATCAATTTGTGGAATTCAACTTCAGATAAGAAGAGTAAGGAGTAAGATTAAAGATTAAAAATTTGATTTGGTTCCTGAGTAATTGGTTGATTGAAAATTTAATTGAAGATTTATCGTGCATAGGAAGCAGAATAATATCATGCAGCTCCAGATTTATCTAAAGAAATTAAAAAATTTATTTTATAGGAAATACCCCCCCCCCCCCCCCCCAATCCCCAGTATTAGAAAGCAAACAAAACTTTATCTTTGAAAATGAATGTTTGCATAAACGAAGATAAAAACAGGACTGTATTTTGCAAAAAAAATTGAGAACAAATACCCGGTCTTATATCTTTCCATTTTTTGTACAAATTATGAAAGATTAATTATCACATTTTGAGTATCTAAAAAAATATGTTATTATTCAACCTACAGACAAAATACAATGAAAATAGGGTTGAGCTCCCCCACTTGCCCTGGTCTATATGGGATCTAGTAGTTCAGTCCTGGCCTGAATTTTAAGGATTCAGTGTATATGCCAGGGGATGAATAAAAGGGATGCTTGACTGACAGAATGCGGTACACACCTCCGCTAGGTTTAAAAAAAAATATGTAGTTTACCTTATCTAACATGACTGGGAAAAGAAGATTTAAGAACATGGGGTTCAGAGACATTTTCTCTTTGTCCTATAAAAAGATTAAAAAAATTAAGAGAAAACCCTAGCAAAAATAAGCTTAATTACAAATAAATTAAAGAAACAAATTAAAAAAAGAAAATGTAAAAATTATTAACTCTCTGAGATTCTGAAATATCAATGTACAGTGTACAATGTGACACTTGAACACAGACAAGTGCAAGTATGTAAATAACTGTAAATTTCAACCAATAAACAAACCTTTACCTTGCAAATTAGTTTAACTGTTTGAAATGTTCCATTCTTCCATTGATCCTCTAGCAGCATACCTGAAAATGACTTTTATATCGAATATCCAAAATTGTAAAAATTTTCTCGATAAAAAAGGTAAAAATATAAATTCTTGACTTTCAAATAAGAATTATATTTGATTTCTTTACCTAAACTGATTTTACTCCGAAATCTAACAACTTCGGCGGACGATAAATCCTCCATTTTTAATCTGAAAATATTCATCTCATTCCTCCCATATTATTCATCATACCAGGGCCTCCCATTCCGCCCACACTTCCTCCACCTCCTCCCATTCCCATCCCCCCGCCTCCCATACTACCCATGCCCCCCATTCCCATGCTGGTCATCCCTCCAGGCATCGAGTTAGGAATTGGTCCTCCGATATTTGAGGTTGTCCTCTCTAGGTATGCTAAAGGACCTTGCAAGGATTGGCCTCCACCGTACATCTGAGGTCCTAGAGATAAAAAATTAATTAGATTACATTCGCGTGAATTTAATTTGCATATTCACTTTCTGAGTTTTATAATAGATAATCTTAAAAATGAAAATTAAAGAATAGAGAGTAACAAAAGAACCCGTGTCAAGTAAGACATTTTGTAATATCTCTTTCAATATTAATAGCAGCCGGTTCTATTTTTGAATGTAGACTCATATAATTTGTTAGGAGCAGGATATGAAGTCAGATTGTCGATATCTCTNGGAGGTCACTTTTCAGAGGTTCCAAGACTCCGGAAAGAGATATCGACAATCTGACTTCATATCCTGCTCCTAACAAATTATATGAGTCTACATTCAAAAATAGAACCGGCTGCTATTAATATTGAAAGAGATATTACAAAATGTCTTACTTGACACGGGTTCTTTGCAACACATTCTTTCTTAGTTGTTGTCTTTTCTCATCTTCAAGTAAAAAAATCATAGAATGTTACAAAAGGATATTAATGTGGAAGAAAAATTCAATATATTTTTAAAATTTTTTTTCTAAACTAGAATCAATTAGTTAGAAAGAATGCATTTTTTAATTAAAATTCAATTTATAAATTCATTACACTGCACTGATAATCCACCTGGCATTCTGTTGAAGCCCCCTGGACCAAAGGATGAATGAGGAGCCCCAGGAAGTCCCTGAGGAGGTATCCCTGGACCACCAGGAGGTCCCAACTGAAGCATTCCAGGTCCACCTTGGGGTCTCACAGAGGAACTAGACGGCTGGACTCCCTGCCACAATATAAAGCATCATTAGTTGCTAAATATCAACATTATCAAACATTACAATTGTTATTATTATTATTATTATTATTATTGGAAGAAAAAAAGAAGAAGACAAATTATTCAATGAAATAGGGGTCAACGTTCCTCGCCACCAAAGTGCATTTTGGGCAAGAAGATCTGCTTTGCCCCAGGAAGGAGACTAAACCTGGCGGTCTGCCCGAAATATATATTTATTAGTTTTAAAGAGGACTTGGCGTTTATTTCAATGGAATAAGATCTATAAATTAAAGACCGCTGTCGGGTGAGCACTCAAGGTTAAAGTTTTTAGAAGAAAAAGGATTAAATCAAGGTTTATACTTAAGTCCTACTTAAAGAAACTCCTAACATTAAAAATTGGCCCCGTTCCGGTCCGCAGCAAATATTAAACGTAAATTAAACCGAAACCCTTATTAAACGTTTGTCAACATTCAACAAACTGTTCACTGTTAAAATGTTAAAAAATGCGAAATAAACCTGCACATCTGCCAACATATTCTGCCACTGAACCAGTTTATCATAGTGCTTCCTGAACATTTAAATAGAAATACAAACAATCAATTAATTCAACAGTAAATAAATAAATCAATCAATCATGTAACAAACAGTAATCAATACATCAATTAATCAAATATCAAATAAACCAATCAACTAATCAAACAGTAAATCAATCGTTTAATTACAAAAGCCAACACGTCAAAACAAATATTTGCACCCATTTGATCCGACCGAAAAACTGGAGAAAATGATTACAAAAGAAACTAATAACTTGCCTCAAACCTTAATTTTTTATCACTTATTGTTTTAACCTATTGTTGAAGACCTTTCATATGTCAACCTATGTGATAAATTTCAATAATCAAATCAACTTCATTTCCATTCTAACCAAGTTTCTTCTTTAAAAATTTGGTTAAAATAATCCTCACCTGATGAGTTCATCTTTTCTGACCAGCTCAGCTTTTAGTTCTGTAGTATCTTCCTGTAACATATATAGTCCGCCTTAATAGACAGTAATACAGAAAAAAATCTAGGATCACATTGTGTAAACTACATATAAAAGGCAATCAAAAAGTGTTGAGAACAGAAAAAATCCAAATAATGACAAAAAATAACTAAGAAGTAAAAAATAAAAACATCAAATAGTTTAAAAACTAAAAATCACAATAATATTACCTTCAAGACCATTTCTGGTTTGTAATTGTAAATTAGAAACCGCTTCTGTAGGAAGAAAGTCTCAAGCTGCCTGCAAGTAATATTTTTGTTTATTGTTTATTAACTAAATTTTTGATTTGTTTTCTTCTTTGCTATTGTTGTTTATTAAAACTAAACATTACCTGAAGAAAGTGAAAACAAGTGATTTAATTGAATGGGGGGGGGGGGGGTTTACCAGGCAATTTTTTGCCTTTTTTATACTGTAACTGAAATAATACCTGTTTCCCCACAATTTTCCAGGAGGAAAAAACAGATATAAATATGTCTGTGCCTACCTATCTCTATGTTGATAAATCTAAAATTTTATGGGAATGCAATGTCAGGGAAAAATATTTTAAATCGCTTGGGGCTTCTATTTTTTATATCAAATATTTCAACACAGAAAATTATTACTTGTAATTGAACACTTCACAGGCTCCATGAATGAAAAAAACATCGATAACATTCATCATCAACATTCATAACTTCCACAATAGTATTTATGGTCCTTGGTATTATTTATGGTTCTCTGCTAATTACCTGGCTAGATGAGAGAACTTGTGGTTACCTTATCCTGTATAGTATTTATGGTTCCCTGGTAATTACCTGGTAGATCAGAGAAACTGGTTACTTTATCCCCTACAGTATTTATGGTTCCCTGGTAATTACCTGGCTAGATCACAGAACCTGGTTACTTTATCCTCTATAGTATTTATGGTTCCCTGGTAATTACCTGGCTAGATCACAGAACCTGGTAACTTTATCCTCTATAGTATTTATGGTTCCCTGGTAATTACCTGGCTAGATCAGAGAACCTACTTACTTTATCCTCAGTATTTATGGTTCCCTGGTAATTACCTGGCTAGATCAGAGAACCTGGTTACTTTATCCTCAGTATTTATGGTTCCCTGGTAATTACCTGGCTAGATAAGAGAACCTGGTTACTTTATCCTCTACAGTATTTATGGTTCCCTGGTAATTACCTGGCTAGATAAGAGAACCTGGTTACTTTATCCTCTAATAGTATTATTTATGGTTCCCTGGTCATTACCTGGCTAGATCAGAGAACCTAGTTACTTTATCCTCTATAGTATTGTTTATAGTTTCCTGGTCTTTACCTGGCTAGATCAGAGAACCTAGTTACTTTATCCTCTATAGTATTGTTTATAGTTTCCTGGTCTTTTCCCATCAGATCATCATCTTCCGTCAGGGCAGCAATACTTTTCTAAGAAAATGTTAAGATATTATAAGTGTTCTTAGGGGCGTTAAGGAGCATAAGGAAATTGAATCTGCAAAAGACCCCAATGTGGACCCCCAGAGTGCTGCCAGGTGTGGAAAGCACTGTCCCACACCCGTTTAAAAGCCGGATATTTGCGTGGATTCAGAGGTAATTTTAATCAAATAGATATGTACAATGTACATATGTATTTTGTAATCAAATCAGATCATGTATCCGTGATGGCTGTATCATCGTATATATGTATATAATACAAAGTTCACATTTATTTGGTTATTTTGTGCCATTGATTCATGAAAAGTTAAAATTTACTGTTTCTGAGGCAGAATTCAAATAATTTGTACAGTGCATGAGATGGTTTAATCATGATGGTTCAGCTAAAAATCTTAACAAGTGTTTTGAGATTTTAGCCGGCGCTAATTTTGAACCAGGTATAAACGGTTCAGCAACATGGTTCAAATACTTTAAATTTGGCCTCTGGTTATGCAGCAAAGACAAAAAGTCAAGGGTTTGGTTAGCAATACTCTCTTATATTTAAGCTCTCACCTGAAATGATTCCTCAAACTCCTGTACAAGGTTGGCATTTTCCCCTAAACTCATCTTGATCTGCAAGAAGTCGTGGATTTATAATTTTAAATTACAAAATTGAAAACAAAGAAACGTTTCAAATTCAGAAGCTGAGAAGGTTATTACTTCCTTCCTATAATCAAGCTGGACAGGTTTAGATCTTTTGGGAATTTTGAAGAAACATTTTTTTAACCTTTGGATGGGATTCAACAATCAAGGAACTGATTAAGCTGACATTAATTAATTAAGCCCTTATTGATCTTTAAATTATTTTTACAAAATTTAAAATGATATTGGTGGACATGGAATAACTATTCTAACAGAAAATGAGAAACTAAATTGCTAGAAGCGGAACATTAGGTTCAGGTTGAAGTCCATGTAAAGATTTTCGTCCTCCAAACATAGTTCTAGTTCTCTCTCCATCCTGCAACCTTCGCACAGCCTCACGAACCTAAATAAAATTATTAAATTTATTGGTATCATTCAGTGCTTATTGCTTAAGATCCATTTCATTTTGTTGCCGATCCTGGATCCTAATTTTGTTGCCGACCCTGGAAGTGGAAGGGAAATCTCTTGACAGTACGGATGGGGTCTTAGAATACGTCTCCCCCCCCCCCCCCCCCACTGCCGAGGAGGGGGAGGGGGTAGATAAAGTATTCCCCCCCTCCCCTCCCCTAAGAAAATATCATGAAAATGTGTAGAAAAGAAGCTGACGCAAGCAACATGTGCTAACAGAATAGAAAGCTAAAACTGAAAACAGTGTATAAACAAGATAAACGAGAAAGAAGAAGAAAACTTTGAACAGGAAAATTAGAAGCGGAGTTGAGCTTTACACTATCTATTTTGAATTCACCGATAGCAAATGAAGACAAATACACAGGATGGCAGACATCCCATTACCCCCCCCCCCNCCCCCCCCAACTATGTCCTACTCAAAATAAAACTGGAAAATGTGTAGAACAGCTGACTCAAGCAAAATATAAAATCAAAGTAAGGGAAGAGGGTAGTGACCTTGCTTCTCACCCCTCCTCGTGTTAGTCTGATGATGTTTTCTATTACAGGACTATATCATGGTACTGGAAGAGTCTCCAGGAACAGGCTATATATATGTTATTGTTTTGGTTACATTTATATATTGTTGTGTACTTTACATCTTTCATGTTTCAGATATAAATACTCCTAGGCTTGGGGGTTTTATATATATCAGCTGTTATTGTACATATTCATTTCCAGAGAATATGTGTCACTGACATTATTATGGTAGTACTCAGGTATATTAGTCAGTTTATCAATGGTAGCAGAGCCAACAAGGTTCTGAAAGACCTTGGCTCAGGGTAACAACAGAAAGTCCTGAAAGACTTTGTTCTGTTTAATTAATAGCTGAATTTTTATGCAGAAAGTCCTGTAAGACTTAGTTCTGCAATTATGGCTGGTAAGCTAAATGTTACTCCCCCAAGTCTAAATGAGGCTAAGACTTATGAGTCTTATAAAAAGGAGTTAAAAATGTGGGCTGCTGTCACTGAGGTAGACAAGAAGAAGCAAGGCAATCTGATTGCTCTGTCATTGCCAAATGAAGGCAAGTTTGGCAACAACCTGAAGGAGCGGGTTATGGAAAGGCTCTCTGTCAGTGATCTTAGCTGTGATGATTGATTAACCAAACTGGTTAAGTTTCTTGATGAAGAATTGGCTTCTGATGCAACAACAGATCTAATTGGAAAATGGGATGATTGGTTTGACTTTGTGAGGAAACCAGATCAAACCATGGAGCAATTCATAGGTGAATATGAGTTACTGGTCAGCAGGCTGGAATCTGCTGGGCAGAAACTTAGTGAGCAAGTAAAAGGCTTTGCTCTAATGAGGAAAGCAGGTCTTAGTGATCTGGAAAGGACTTTAATCCTATCAAGATTAGATCTTGAGAAATCTGAATCAATATATAAGGATATAAAGATTCAATGTACTAACCTTCTGGGCAAGGTTTTCAAGCAAGGAAGTGCTTTAAGTACAAATCATACTATCAAGCTAGAACCTGCTTATTTAGCTCAACATGAGGACACTCTAGCTACAATGGGTTACTACAAGAAGTATGATAACAAACAAAGTTGGAGAAAGGATGGAAAATCTGACTGGAAATCCAAAGGTTCTACGAATTTTCCTCGGAAGAATAATTACACTTCAAACAAGAAACAGAATCCGAAGGGTAGAGATGGAAAAACATTGAGATGCAATGTTTGTGGATCATATTTGCATTTGTTCAGGGACTGTCCTGATAAGGAAGAAAGTGTAAACTATGTATCAGAAAAAGATTCATGTGATGATGTATTTGAATCTTTAGAGAAACTTGTTCTTTTCACAGATAATTCAAATGAAATGAACAGATTTACATCTGAATCATTGAATTGTGCTGCTTTAGATACCTGTTGTACATCATCAGTGGCAGGCAAGAACTGGATGAAGGTTTATCTAGAATCACTCCCAGAGGATATGAAGAAGCTAGTTCAAGGACCAAACAAGGGACTGAAATCCTTTCAGTTTGGAAATCTTGGAATCATGCAATCTGAAAATAGCTACAAAATCCCTATTAATCCTGTTGGAAAAGTATCATTCATAGAAATGGATATAATAGATTCAGATATACCTCTGCTACTTTCCAAGAAAGAAATGCCATGAAAGGAGCACTCAATGTTGTGAATCTCACCACTGGAGCAAATTCTCCCTGGCAGAATGGGACTTGTGAGAGAAATCATGCTGTGGTTGATAATATTCTGGAAAGAGTTGAAGATGATTATCCAGAACTTGATATAGAAACTAAGTTAGCATGGGCATGTATGGCAAAGAACAGTTTAATTAATGTCTATGATTACAGTCCTAATCAGCTTGTTTTTGGGAGAAATCCAAAACTCCCAAATATAATTACTGATGGTCCCCCCTCTTGGGAAAATGAGAATGTAAGTGAAGCTTTGCTGAAACATCTGAAAGCTCTACATGCTACAAGAAAAGCCTTCATTGCCTCAGAAAGCTGTGCTAAATTGAAATTAGCACTGAAAAGCAAGGTCAGATGTTCTGCAGAGTTGTACTCTAATGGAGAAATTGTTTATTACAAGAGAGATAATGATTCTACATGGCAGGGACCAGCAAAGGTTGTTTTTTCAGATGGAAAGATTATCTTTTTGCGAAATGGAGGACAGTTGGTTAGAGTTAGTGCCAATAGATTAGTCAAAGTTGGGTCTGAATTGGCTAGTCAAATAAGAAGAGAGGACAGTAACACTGAGATTGAATCTATTAATAATCCAATAATTTCTCCCAGTATAGATGCCAGAGACACTAAACAAACAGAAGATGAAACCCCACTCATCAGTGAGGATCTTGGTGTTGCAAATGAACCCAGTGATGAAACCAGAAAAAGAAAAGCTGTTGGATTTGGAGATGATCAGAAAGTTTTAAAGCACAGTAAGATCTGTCTAAAGAAAGATGAAAAGATTAGATTCAAAGATCAAGATGATTGTTGGACTGACGGTATTGTCACTGGTAGAGGTGGAAAAGCTACTGGCAAACATGCCGATTGGTACAACATAGCACGTATAGATAACTCTGAAGAACTTTGTGTAAATCTAAGGCAAACAGAATTTGAGATTATTGATGACGTCCTTGAAGAAGTTCATGTAGTTAATGTTCCAAAAGAAAAGAAGAATAGTCAAGAATGCTTACAAGCTAAGCTGCAGGAATTAGCCAAGTTAAAGGAATTTAATGTTTATGAAATAGTTGATGAGAATGGCCAAGAGACAATATCAACTACATGGGTGTTGACTATGAAAAATGATGATATCCGTGCTAGGCTTGTGGCTAGAGGATTTGAAGAGGAAGATGAAGTAGACAAAACTTCACCAACTATGATAAAGTCTACATTGAGATTGATTTTGGCTGTTGGTGCCATGAAAGACTGGCCATTACAAACCACAGACATTAAATCTGCTTTCTTGCAAGGGTCTGAAATGAGCAGAATTGTACACATTAAACCTCCCAAAGAAGCTTATTTGCCCAAAGGAAAAATCTGGAAGTTGCGCAAATGCTTATATGGCTTGAGAGATGCTTCAAGACAATGGTATTTGAGAGTCAGAGAGAGTCTGCTATCTCATAACTGCACTCAATCTCTTCTTGATCCTGGTTTGTTTTTCTACTCAAGAGAAGGAAAGCTGGAAGGTTTAATAGGTTTACATGTGGATGATTTCTTACATTGTGGATCAGATAATTTTGATGCAGATGTGATAGTTCCAGTTATGCAGCTCTTTAAGGTTGGAAAGAATGAGAAGAATAGTTTTCTTTACACAGGATTCTCAATCAAGCAGAAACCCTCAGGAATCATCTTAGATCAGTTTGAGTATGTGAGGAACATAGATATACCAACCATGGAATCCAAAAGAGTTGTGAACAAAAATGAAGACCTAACTGCTAGTGAGCTTTCTGAACTGAGAAAGATCTGTGGATCTTTAAACTGGGTTGTCATGGCCACCAGACCAGATTTATCCTTTGATCTGATTGAACTGTCTACTAAACAACAGAAAGGAAAGGTGTCAGATCTAGCTAAAGCTAGAAAAATCATGTTGAGTATGGATCCAGGGGATTGCAAAATTTTTATACCCAAACTGGATGAGAACTCTGTTGAATTCAGAGTATATACAGATGCTAGCTTTGGGAATCTAGACAATGGAGCAGGTTCAATGGGAGGACATGTGGTCTTTCTGAAAGACAAGTTTGGTAACAGTGTTCCAATTGATTGGAAGTCAAGAAAAATAAAGAGAATTGTTCGTTCTACTCTTGCTGCTGAAGCATTAAGTCTGGGTGATGGACTTGATACTGGATTGTTTCTGAAAGAAATGTTCAAGGAAATCATGGGACCCAAAGCTGCTCAAGCTCCCATAATTGCTATTGTGGACAATAAGAGTGTTGAGGTTAATCTGAGATCAACATCCTCCGTGGAAGATAAGAGGCTCAGAAGAGATCTTAATCTTATCAAACAGATGATTGACAGAAAAGAAGTAGAAGCTGTACAATGGGTTGATGGGCAACATCAACTGGCAGATGCTCTTACCAAGAAAGGAGTGAATCCTTCTAAACTTCTTTCAGTAGTCCAAACAGGAAGGATTGTTTAAAAAAAAAAGAAAAAAGAAAGAGAGAAAGAAAAGTTTTATTTTAGTAATGTAGAAGAGAATGCTGAAATATTCTCTTAGATATTTTATCCTGTGTAAATGTGGTTTTATTTCCTTTGTTTCATGCAATCTGGAATGCTGAAATATTCTATGTATAATTAAACTGTTTTTATTTATGGCTGATTTTACAGGTATTACAATTATTTTAAGAATGTCTGGAGATGAAATTGTGTACACAATGACAAGAGTTTACAATCCTAAGACAAGAGTACATTATGTTAAAGATTCTAGGTCTGCTGAGAGTCAAATCAAGTGTCTCTATATTGGAAGTAGTGAACTGTGTGGTGATGTTGAAGAGATTAGAGTTAGATCTGATGTAGCAAATGATTTTTTGCTTGCTACTGGTGATGATCTATTGTTCTGGGCAGAGATTCTGGTAGATCAGATTGAGAAGGCAACTTCACAACTTTATATCATCTTAGATATAGGCTATGAGCTAATCCTTCAGCATCTGCCTACTGCAATTGTGCAGTTTGCTGATCTGATGGCTGGTTTTTGTGATATGAAAGGGCACAAGTTAGCTCTAGCTACTATGACAATTATTCCAGAACTGCAACATTTAAAAGAGAAAATTCTTGAAGTAAACAAAGGGTTTAATGAGAAAAAGATGCTGAAGAGGACAAGAAGAAGGAGAGGGGACTAAAGAGGAAGAGAAGAGAATAGAGGGAATGTTAGTCTGATGATGTTTTCTATTACAGGACTATATCATGATACTGGAAGAGTCTCCAGGAACAGGCTATATATATGTTATTGTTTTGGTTACATTTATATATTGTTGTGTACTTTACATCTTTCATGTTTCAGATATAAATACTCCTAGGCTTTGGGGTTTTATATATATCAGCTATTATTGTACATATTCATTTCCAGAGAATATGTGTCACTGACATTATTATGGTAGTACTCAGGTATATTAGTCAGTTTATCACCTCGTGCATTCAAGAATTCAGAATAGGTCTGAGATAAAGAATTCAAAAATAGTTCTTTCTCCTGGAACTTGGCTAGCTGCCGGGACATAAAAAAAATCATTTCTTTTTATTTTCATAATTTGCCAAAGTGTGATCGATGGATGGACGAGGAATAAATGATCAAGAAGAAAGAAGGAAAAACAAGAAATATAGAAGTCTCAAAATGTTTCCATCTGATATCATACAGTAAAATATTGTAAAATGTAATTAAAATAAGTTATTAAAGTTAAAAGAAGTGATAATAATGATAAATTTACCTCAGCAGGTGTTAAAGGACAACCGGAGTAATCTGAGTTCTTTATTCCTTCATTCTTATCACGTACAGGTACTAAACAGTATACAAAATTCAATCAGGGACGTATATTTTTCAGATTTTTTAGAAAATAAAATACATGAAATAAACTGGCAAATGTTTATTACACAATAAAGGTACATACTGAGTATTGACAGTACATTCAAAAAAAAAGCAAGAAAGGTAAGTTTGTATCAAATAATAGAGGTACATAATATAATATCATAATACACGTTTTTTCATCCTTTTTGTTACTTTTCACCCAATTTTACTTAAACACATAATTTCTAGTGAAAATAATGATTTTTGACTGAGAGGGGAGAGGGGGGGGGGCAGATTTTCAATAAAATATACACCACTGTAGAAGAATTAAATTAGACCTGCTAGGTTCGGAAATGCTGTGTTAATACTCTGTATAGGCAACAGACGGTTCAGTTTATCCACTAGAAAAGATTTTCAATAATATCAAATATTAAAAATATTAAAATTGAGGTCTAGGACAAATGATGTGTAGGACAAATGATTTTTAGGACAAATGATTTGTAGGAAAAATGATTTGTAGGACAAATGATTTGTAGGACAAATGATGTGTAGGACAAATGATTTGTAGGACAAATGATGTGTAGGACAAGTAATGTGTAGAACAAATGATTTGTAGAGCAAATGATGTTTCCCCCGTCTCTGTAGGACAAACGATATTTATGACAAATGATGTGTAGGACAAATGATTTGTAGGACAAATGATTTGTAGGACAAATGATTTGTAGGACGAATGATTTGTAGGACGAATGATTTGTAGGACAAAAGATTTGTAGGACAAATGATTTGTAAGACAAATAATTGTAGGACAAATAATTGTAGGACAAATAATTGTAGGACAAATAATTGTAGGACACATGATTGTAGGACAAATGACATAGCGCCAGAGAAAACAAATCATTAAGCAAAAAAAAAAAAATTTAAAAACAAGCCATGATTTCATAATAGAGTAGATTCTTAGTTAAATTAGTCCCAATGTATCTCAAGATTCAGGCTTTAATTCAGACTTAATGGCAATTGACAGTTTACTAATTATTAATATATAAAAAAGAAACCTCCGGAAACGCATCAAAGTGAATATGCAACACTGATTTGAAACCAATTGACCAAACTTGGCAGATAGATTGATTAATTGATTGAACGATTGAAAGATTGATTAGTTCATATATCTATTTAAAGATTTATTGATTAATTGATTGTTTAAGTGTACCTGAGTTGAATGAAGAATCTCGTCTGACAACTAGGCAGAGTTCTATAAGTTGACCTGCACAACAAATAGTTGGTTGCAAAATATCAATTTATTACAACAAACTGAAATATTCTCATAATAAACTTTTGGATGAAAAGGCAACATTTTTCAATTCAATCATTTTTACTGGAAAAGACAGAAAAAAATGAGAACTTTGCCGAAAAAATTTCCGATTTAATTTTGTTTTCAAAATCCATCAATAAATATTTTAAAAATCTCCAAATTAGTTTTGCAGTTTACAGAAAAAAGACGGTTTGAAATCAATATTAAAAACTGGAATTTTTGCGAAGAAAAAGGGGCACGAAGAAAGCCTTTAATGTAACAAAACTATATTCTTAGGTCAGAATTGATTAAATAATTGTCTGGTACACTATCGGCCTAACTATAGAATCAGTACAACCATTTACTGCTGTCAATTAATTCCTACCTCTGGTTGTCCATTATAAAGTTGGTTAAAAGTTTACCTAAGGTTTCATATGCTAAATAACAAATAACATCATTGGTCAGTTTTTCTAGTTTAATGTCCAGGGTGTCTACCACATCCTGTAGGGAACCTAGTACAGAACAGTTAATAAACCTAGTACATACAATAACATAACTCTGTGTACGCTGCATTGGACAGTACATATTTAAAGTGTTGTTCACAGATAATTAGCTAATATTTATATATTAAGCTTTTCCAAGCCCAATATATTTAAAGAATAAAGAAAAAGTACTAAAGGATTGTGATGCTAAAAAAAATAAAAAATCAGAATATTTTAAAATGTTTTATTTTTAAAAATTGAGATAAGGATTTTTCCAAAAGATATTGAGTCTTTGGTACAAACTCTGATTTTCTAATCCTTATATCTATATAACCCAATATTGTAGACCTTAAACATTTCAAATTTTGAATTTAAATTGATCAAATAAATAAAGTTTGAAATATCAAAGATTTGAACCATCCGGTTGAAAAGAAGTTTTAAGTTTGTGGCGAAAAATGAATTCCTTTGTATTGAAAAAAATAAAGACTTACTCTGGAACCACTGTGAGTATTTTCCTCTAAAAGAAACACGTCTGGCTTTACAGAAATCCAGATACTTTCTTTCATCCAAATTCTAATCCAACCGTACGTTTGGGTCTTCAGTAGACAAACAGGTAGACAAACAGGTAGACAAACAGGTAGACAAACAGGTAGACAAACAAGTAGACAAACAGGTAGACAGGTAGAGAAACAGATAAAGAGGTAGACAAACAGCGTAAACAGAAAAGGCCAACAGCTGAAAGGGTAACAGAAAAGGTCACCAATTGAAAGGGCAAACAGAAAAGGAGACCTGTTGAAAGATTAAACAGAAAAGGAGACCAGTTGAAAGGGCAAACAGAAAAGGAGACCAGTTGAAAGGGTAAACAGAAAAGGAGACCAGTTGAAAGGGCAAACAGAAAAGGAGACCAGTTGAAAGGGTAAACAGAAAAGGAGACTAGTTGAAAGGGTAAACAGAAAAGGAGACCAGTTGAAAGGAAAAAAAGCAAAAGGTTAACAGAAGACAGGGTAAACAGAAAAAGAGAACAGATAAAAGGCTTAACAGATAAGGTTACAAGCTGAAAGAGTTAACAGAAAAGGTCACTAGTTAAAAGGGTAAACAGATAAGATTACCAGATGAAAGACTTACCGGAAATGGTTACGAGCTGAAAGAGTTACAAGAAAAGGTCACTAGTGAAAAGGGTAAACAGAAAGGATTACCAAATAAAAGGTTTACGAAGGTTACCAGCTGAAAGAGTTAACAGAAAAGGTCACCAGATAACTAGACATTAAGATGACAAAGCTGACAGAAAGGAACAACATTAAGCACAAGATGTATAAGCCCGGAAGATTTGATAATACAATATGGCGGAACTGTAACTTGTTTGAATACTGAAAACACAATTACTGTTTCCTTGGTTATTCTGTCATGCCTCACCAACCTCTCATGGTAAACTTCATCATAGTGCTCCTGTATCATGTACTGAAGTTCATCTACAGCAATTTGGTTGATTCAAATTGGCCAAATCAATCAACAAGTGTTTTCAAAAATTTATTTGTTGATAAAAGACTGATTGATTAAGCGAAATTTTAGATGACCCTATATGCAAAGATGGCATTGCCTGATTAACAACGGTACCTTTGATACCTTAACATTATCAATAATGTGGATTATTCAATTTGATTACGAATAAAAAACTAGTTCAAAGATTGATTAAATTGATCTATTTGCCGTTTTTTGTTTTTATGGATTGGTTAATTTAAAGATTACTTACGTTAATGCATGCAAAATAACCTGTTCTATGAATTTAAATTTTTTTTTAAAGATAGTAATGAATTGATTGATTTTAAGACAGGCTTAGTTGATTGATTTAAAGATTTTTTACCAGTTAGAGCTTAGATTGAAAGACTAATTTTCTTAGAGATTATTCTATTGATATGTTAGTTCACTGCTTACTTTAGGCAAAACAAGTGCCCGTCGTTGCCCGAGGAGAGTTAAAACATTTTTTAAAATTTAAATATTGAAAGAAAGACAAATTTCTAATTTTAAAAAATAAAATTGATATTATTTCAACTAATGGTACAGCAGTTTAACCAGCTATAGCTAACATATTTATAATATAGATTTTGATCTGAAAACTATTGATAGATTTCAAGATAACTTTTATATTCCTTGTCACAAGCTGCGAGGAGAACTCCTGTTTCGTCGATCTTCTCAAGAAAGTTACGGCATCTAAAATGTTTTTAATAATTCAATATTCAGTATATATCATACATAATACATGTAATTCAGAATTTTAAAGATGAAAAATTTATCAATCAGCATAAAATATTATTCATTTCTGGAAACCAAACCTGGATGAACCAAACGCTGGTTACTGGGCATTAAACCATACAATAGTTTGGGTATCGCTCTTGGGCATAGACCAAACCAAATTAAATGCCAAAAACCAAGCTTTTTTTCGAAAAATCTTAACATAATCAAAAAGTTTTTAATTATACATAAACGTCTTAGTAATTAAACTTTAATTGAGATTAAGACTTCGTCTTTTTAGTTTTTCTAAATTTCATAAATTCTTAAACTTGCACATAACAAATTGCAGCTTTATATAAAGATAGACAAATTTTATATCATTACACAGGTGTAGCATGTACTAATCTAGCTATATAAGCACCAATTCACAAAACATAATAGTTTTTGTGAAATACTTGAATAATAAAATACAATAAAACACAAACCACTTCATTCTTGCATGATGCAGGATCTTGGTGGAGAATTTTTTAACGTATCAACGTAGTTAGATTCGTACATGATACACATGAAAAATGGTATAAAGTTTGTCTATCTCTATCATAGAGAATAGAATATATAGAGAGGAATTTAATTGAAAAAAGTGTAAAACGGCCATTTTGTTGTACTGTTTCCATACTGCAGGTGTACTTCACTTATTTATGCTATATAACCTGTTGGGCCCTGGAATATCATTATATAGAAAATCTAAAATTATTGTTATAAGAAAACCAAATTATGAAATAGGCTGGTTTCATAATTGACCAATGATCATTTCACATATATACTCTATGCCTTCCACTTTACAAACGATGATTTTCCGTTAAAACTATAAATCAAATGATGTTTTTATTCAACTAATTCATTATAAAGTTTATTTAAGAGTTTAAAAAATTCGAAATTGAAATGAATAGTCTAGGGAACATACTGTATTAATTTTTCTAAGATCTTAAATTATTTCTAAGATCTTAAATTGTTCTAAGATCTTAAATTATTCTAAGATCTTAAATTATGTTCTAAGATCTTAAATTATTTTTCTAAGATCTTAAATTATGTTCTAAGATCTTAAATTATTTTCTAAGATCTTAAATTATGTTCTAAGATCTTAAATTATGTANTTTCACATTTAACACTTCTTGATTTTGTTTTCCATAATTACGTCGGCTAATTAGCATCAAGACGACATAGTTTAACTAATGGAATGCCATACTTACGTCGAACTTTCAATGTTCTTCGTCAGTACAATCGTAGTTTCTTACATATTGCATAAATTGACAGTATACCATTGTTACATAAAAACTTTAGAATGCTTGCTCAATCTGATTTTCCACATTAAATGCTCAATTATATGCAGACTCGGTGACTCGAGAATATATGTACACAATAGCATCGTTAAATAGTTGTATTAAATATATGTGAACAATTTTGTACAATTAATATAATCTCGATACGGAGATAATAAATATCTAGATCTCAAAAAAAATGTACTCTACTGCATATAATTTGTGAACATTTACATGATTTGTACACTTTGAACTCCCTTTTAGGCTGAAAGGGACTGAAAAATTTCATACCGAGAGATTCTTTTAATTCCTCTCTATATATTCTATTCTCTATGATCTCTATAAAAAAGATGCAAAACTTATTTTAAACCCCTGATGTTCACCTAACGGTAGTTTTCAGTTGTCGTTCCCAGGTTTCTCCTTTCTCAAGCAAACTGAGTTCATCTTTTTTATCCTGGATAAATTGTTTCCATGAATTCATAATACAAAAATACAAAAATACAACTGATAAGAGTAGAAAGAAGGGGAAATACAAAAAACTTTAGCGGGTGTCCAGAGAATAAACTAAATTAATTCATTATTTTGGGGCCATCCTCAAACATTTTTCAATTATTAATTTTATCGTGGAACTGTATGGAAAAGAATTTTGTCTGAAATTCGTTTCTTGGGAATCGAAAAAGAAATGTTTATTTTTATTTTTTACCTTGATTTTCAGGTATTGGATAAGACGTTGGATTTTGATTGGACTTTTCCGCATCAAATACAGAATATCCTAAAAATAAAATAATTATCAAAAAATTGTATAAAAGAAATATTTATGAACTAGGGTTTCAAAATTGAAAACCTGAACAAGATATCTTCTAAAAATCATGTAGAATTTTATCAAAATAAAGTTTACATGGTCTGTTTACTTATTTTCCAATGAGCCTACATTTAACGAGTTAAATGCTCGATTTACAACCAACAGTACCTCTATCTCGAGCAAAACTAATAGTTAATAAAAGCTACTTCCTTGCGAAAGTGGTTTGCATATTTCAAGATATCTTTTTTATTGTTACTCAGAAAAGGGTTTTAAGGGTAGCATTGTGAATCAGGCACTTTAAATGAAGGGCTAATTGAATTTACTTTAACAGTCCCTTTATGTAAAAGATGGTTTAGTACCTCTATAATGAGTATCTTTGATCCTCTGTTTTCTGCCAGGTTTGTTGCAAGATGTATAATTGTACGTAGTTGAGCGAGGACAACTTGTTCAACTATACGAGCAGAATCAGGGTTCGGTCGTCTAGAATAATAAGGTTGAACGAGGACAACATGTTCATGTTCAACTATACGAGCAGAATCAGGGTTTGGTCGTCTAGAATAATAAGGTTGAACGAGGACAACATGTTCAACTATATGAGCAGAATCAGGGTTCGGTCGTCTAGAATAATAAGGTTGAGCAAGAACAACATGTATACTTCAGAAGAAAGAGCAAATAGAAATTATTCTACTAAGTACTTCAGAATCGCAAATAATACTACTAAGTACTTCAGAAGAGCAAATTAAAGCACTAAGTACTTCAGAAGAGCAAATAAAACCACTAAGTACAATTCAGAAGCAGATTAATTACAAGATTAAGTTAATGACCTGAAGTCCCCGAAAGCGTACATCATCTGCTGCGTATCTGAGAGTCCTGGTGGGCCAGCTGATGATTTATTTCCGTCCATTGCAGATTTTCTAGAATTATAGTTCGTGTACGACGATCAGGATTTTAGATTTAAGATTTCCCTATATCGGTCTCTGTTTTAGGCTTTTGTGATTTTAGGTGACCCAACATCACGCAACCATTAAGAACAATCAATTTTCAGATACCGATGAGCGAGATTAACTGAGATCAGAGTGATTTCATGATAATTGGAGATTTTTGGGATATATAAAATTAGTGCCGAGTAAATAACGGCTACCGCTCGATCACAATAGTATATCCAATTATCTTAGAACCTTCCACTCGATATTGGAGTATTCATATGTTTCAAAACCGTAGCGTCCTTCAAAATAACAATAGTGAAGTCAAACATATTCATTTGGAATCTTAAATCTTAAATATTGTGGGTCTGTCTTAGAGAACGATTATTGCCCCCCCCCCCCTTCTTATCAATTTTGGGAATGACCTAGATTTCAACTATTTTCAACAAAGAAATATTTATTTTGGATTGTTTCAGGATTAGGTTAGGACAATATCTGGGACAGGCTAGGGGGGCCGAGCGCTGCGGCCAGAACAGCTTTGCAAACATTTAGTCTCCGACAAACCGATGGCAAAATATAAATCCAGAATATTTTACCCGCCAACTTCGCCATGGCATATAAAGTCGGTAAAAATGTTTCCAAGGAGGCCTTTAATTTAATTTCAACAATTTTCAAAACAAATTAGTATATATTTAAGGTCAGGTTAGGTTCAGATACTTTCTGGGCCGAGGGACCTGGGCCGAGCACCGCAGTTAAATATGAGATGAGGTGGGGAGGGGGGCGGGGTCCAAAACTCGTTCTCTAGGAAATTACTAATATTGTTTTACTTTTATTTATTATGAATAAAGCTACCATTAAATGAAAGTCTAACAATGTGTAAGATTTTAGATTCAAAATGAATAACTACACATTAAATGGCATTAATACTAAAAGTCCCAATGTGAACACAAATAAGTAGTTTTTCTGTTAAATAAGCTTCGGTTTTTTATTGTGGAATGGAATGGGATGGAATCGGTAGAATTTGTGTTTTGAAAAGAAAAACGTTATACTTGCGGCATTAGTACGTAAAATCGGTCGTCTTCGATCTCTAGAAATTATTTATGGATGGACTATAAAAGTTTATAAATCCAGTTTTTACTCTTGTCTTCAATTTGATCCGTTAAATTTAACCTCTTTTCTGAACGCCCCTCCCCTATTTCTCTATCCTCATTTTAGATGCCTTCCTCTGTGCGCTTAGCGAACGGGTTACGTAAACAGATGGCGGGGTGGCAGGACCTTCGCGTACCCCCCCCCCCCCTGAGATTTCAGAATAGCTTCTCAATAGCACTTAAGGGAAAGAACTAAGTGCAAAATAGGAAAGTTAAAAAAATAGCATACGGCACGTCTTTTGGTTCCTAAATCTGGATTTTTTTGTTCCGAAATAATCCTGTAAATGTAATAATACTGTATCCGCCCCTGTTACTTTATATGAATGAAATATATGAATGAAAATCATTCATCAACATTTTAAGAATCTAGCTACTACTATGACTACTTTAAGTTAAGTTTGGCTACGGTGATGATACTTTACATTTCTTAGTGTTCATGACATTTCATAGCCAGGACATAATTAATAACATATAGGACATTTTATAATCATAGCTGCAAGATACAGGGTGTCCCACGAAACATGACATGGCAAGACAAATTGAATGTCGTCTTCGAAAGCTGAATTTATTTGTGACATTATGTCGTCAACCTACTTTAACATGTATGATTCTTGAAACAATAATATTCAAGGGCGTATACAGGGGGGAAGCAGGGGGCAGTGCCTCCACCAGACCTGTAAAGTGGGGGCGTACGCCCCCTAGAACTCAGAGCTATCATACTTTTCAAATATGAAACTGAAGAGTGAAGAACATAAAAAATTGTTTGCTGTTAGTTTTGTTTGAAGGAGAGATAGAGTACTAAGTTTGCAAGACGTAATTGGACTCTATGTGTACCTTCCATGTAACTTATGCTTATGCCTGATTTCCAAGAAGCCAAATGTTTAGTCCCCCCCCCCTCCCCTAGGAACTCCAGGGGGAGGGGGCAAAAAATTTTGGCCTCCCCTTAGATGTATTTATGTATACGCCCTTGCAGCTAGGCCTCCAAAGGACCGAAGGGCAACTAAAGGGCAAGGGCATATACAGAGGGGGCGCAGCGCCTCCCCCTAGACCTGTGAAGGAGGGGGGTTAGCCTCCCCTAGAATTCAGAGCTATGACACTTTTCAAATATCTTAAACTGAAAAGTGAAGAACATAAAAAAAAATTAGGTTGCTGTTCTGAATTTATAATATAATTATATAAATATTTTTCCTGCAGTATAGATTGAAATCAAATTATGAAGTGCAAATTGCGCATGTGCCAACGGGGTATATTTTAAAAGTCTTTCGGGAAACTGTCTTATTTCCTTCTTTTTCTTTTTACGTCTGAGGATTTAATAGTCATTTTTTTAATATTCTTTTTGATCATATTAAAATTATTGAAAACTTTATAAAATTCTTGGTGACACTATATTGATAAAATGGAAACAGTTATACAATAATCATTTTAATGTGTTTCTTATTAACATGTATTGTATCCACATTTAACATACATTAAAATGTGATTATTCATAAAGATATCCACAGATACAATCAAATCTTAAAAATTAAATCAGTTAGCATTCCAATGTCATATGTATTCACATTTAACGTATATTAAAATGTGATAATTCATAAAGATATCCACAGTTACAATTAAATATAAAAATAAAAACAGTTAGCAATCCACTGTCATATGTATTTACATTTATCGTACATTAAATGTGATAATTCATTAAAATATCCACAGATACAATCAAACCTTAAAAACAAAAACAGTTAGCATTCCACTGTATCAAATGTATCCACATTTAACGTACGTAAAATATGAAAATTCATCAAAATATCCACAGTTACAATCAAATCATTTAACAAGTTTTAAATTTATTCAAGTTTAATAGATTTTAATCTTTCAATGAATAAAGGTTATATTCAGCATAACAATGTTAGATGTATTATGCAATTGCATTATGCAAATGTTTAAATTTAGCCAAGCTTTTCAGGGCAAATCTTATGGAATATAACAACATTTTTTGTATGGCAATTTATCCATAGTTTTATCATTATATTTTTTAATTAGGATTTAATGAAATCCGAAACAAAACGTGTCCGTCATTTTTTTAGATTTGGTTTTTGTCTCACCCTGTATTTCTGGAAAATCTAACAATCTTTTTAAGATTTTGGATTTACAGGGTTGCTCATAAAGGATGAGACTTCAGAGACGACTGTATGGAATTTACACCGACTGTTTCCTTATATTCATGACTTCCTGCAACTATAAACTTCTTTCTTTTTTGCCACATCATTAAATAAGCCATTTAAAACCACATACAGGGATAAGATTTTTTTAACTTGTAATCCTCATATTTAAAGAGTTTTAAGTCGTCTTTACAGTCTCATCCTTTGTGGGTAACCCTGTAACTCTTGAACAGCTAACAACCTTTTTAAGATTTTGGATTTAACTTACCCTGTATCTTTTGAACAGCTAACAATCCTTTAAATATTTGTAAAAACAGATTTTGTTTTTGATTTCAGTAATCAATATTTCTTATATCAACATACAATGTGTCCCAATAAACATTGGAATTAAATAACGACTTCTATATCTCTTTGTTCCAAGCGGGATTATTTCATAAATATAATGATATAGTATCACAATCAAAACATTTAACACAGAAACTACTAGCGTTGGGATTTCCAAAATTTGGTCTACAATAATCTTACCTTCAAAATTGACCAAGATTTTAGGAAATGAATTGAGTCTTTGTTACAAACTAAAATTTTCAAATTTCTATATCTTTGTTACCTGATGATTTAAACTTTTGATGTTTCAAACTTAGATTATCTAGTCTAATATTATTCATAGCTTCAAATATCTAAGGTCATACGGCATTGTGTTAAAAATCAAAATCAAAATTTGTAACATAGATTAAAGATTTCACTTTATTAAAAATCAACAAAAATAATCAATTGTTTAATATCTCCGTCAGTTTTAAAGATACAACAATCTTAGACCACATTTTGGAAAGCTCATTAGACTTTCCGTCTTAATTTTGATGCACTTCATGTCATTTCTCAATTATCGGAAATCAAAGACGATATTCAAGTCGTCTCTCAAATTCCATATTTCTTGGGACACCTTGTATGTATTCAGTTCACAGTTTGTGAAACATAATATTTCTGGCACAAGCCTCAGATTAGAAGTCTAGGACCAACCCAAAATATTCTAAACAATTTCGTGGAGACATGGAATTTACAAATTAAATACACCCCCATTGATGCAGAAAATTGATAAATGATTATTTTGTTGAATTAATGAATCATTAATTTTCTAAAGATATATTTGAAACCCATTCATTTCTCATTATTCATAAATACTTGTGTTCACTAGAACTTTCTAATCTTGCAATAAGAAAATTCTAAGAACTCTTTCCTGACGTCACCTTTGCGTCCCACCCACAGTTCCTGGATATAAGAGGAGGTGTGGCCCCGCAGGGGTTAGTTTCGGGTGTTCAGATCACTTCTGCTCAGTGACTCAAACGTAGCATAAAGCAACAGCGTTCTTTAGATAAATCTGAATAGTGTTTTCTAAAGTAATAATTGTAGTAAAGTTTTATCAAAATGAGCAAGGTTCGTCATGAGTTTACACCTTACTATCGATCAGAGAGCAATATGAAAATAGGTAAATATAGGTAATATAGGAGGTTAGGAAGTTAGGAGGTTATGTTAGGGGATTAGGAGGTTAGGAGGTTAGGAGATTAGGAGATTAGGAGATTAGGAGGTTAGGAGGTTTGGAGATTAGGAGGTTAGGAGGTTAGGAGATTAGGAGGTTAGGAGGTTAGGAGGTTAGGAGGTTAGGAGGTTAGGAGATTAGGAGATTAGGAGGTTTGGAGATTAGGAGATTAGGAGGTTTGGAGATTAGGAGGTTAGGTGGTTAGGAGGTTAGGAGGGTTAAAATGTAATATTTTTTAATTCTAGGATACACGGATACCCCTGCAGATAGAAGATACAAACAGTGTACCCTTGTATTCTGTATCATGGCTATTCTTGTATCTATAACGATGATTATAGTAGGAATGTTGTTTTCAAACAATTAAGAAAACTGTTAGCAGAATTTATGTTATTTATTTTACTACATCTTTCTCAATTTTGTATTGCAAGTTTTTAATTAAGAGTGTGCTTTTTTATGAGAATTGTCTTGTTTTTCATTTATACGGTTCAATTTCATAAAAAAAATATAATAAACTCTTTATAACTTTTGACCGTTCAGAAAGCTTTGAAGGAATTGAGTCTTTGCAACAAACTCAAATTTTCTAATGTCTTTACAACCTGGTGGTTTAAACCGTTGATATTTAAAACTTAGACTATGTAATCCCAAAAGATTTCATAGTTTCAATTATCTCAGGATAATCAGATTCATCAGATATAGGTTATAGATAATCAGAGTTTGTGTCAAAGACTCAATTCCTTTTTTTTGCCAATTCTTTCGAAACTAGAAATTACTATTTTAAAGACCAAAGTCCAAAATTAGCCTTTAAATTGTCATAAATAAAGATTTTTAAGTCGCTATTTAAGTCCCTTTTTTATTTAGTATAAATAAAGAGTTTTAGGTCGTTATTTAAGTCCCTTTTTTACTATTGCATAAATAAAAAGGATGATTCTAAAACAACAAATGCTGTGTAGGATCTATATATGCTGCTCCATTAAGACGACCCATATACGATTCAGGTAACTTTCTATTTTTACTTAATTTTTTTATTTCCGGTCTTTAAAGGAAGTGTTCAAGAAAAATGATAGGGGCACATAGAGCCAAACTGTATTAAAAAGTTGCATCAATTTAAAGTGTCGCATGGTCTTAGATTTTAACGGAATAAGTCACTTATAATTTTTTTGTAGCCCTAGAACTAGAAAGCTCTTTCGTTTCTAGTTTTTTTTTTTTTAAGAAGTAATTTGCAAAATTACCATCCATCTTTTTCGTGAGAGATTGTCAGTATCAATATTAATGCTACCTGATGGGTTTAAAATGTTCATGGTAGACTTTTATAGATAAACACATCATAAACAAAATCATCAGAGCCATTTCATGATAAAAATCAGGAAGACGACAATATTTGACTGTTTTTTGGTTTCCATGGTACTGGGATATTTATTCCCTTTTCTACAGAATGTCCTGCAGTGAAATCATAGCAGGGGTGATTACTATTTTCTACAGGATGCCCTGGTGAGACCATGTTACCCTGGCATCTAGTTATAGCAGGGATAATTACTATTTTCTACAGGATGTCCTGGTGAGACCATGTTACCCTGGTATCTAGTTATAGCAGGGATAATTACTATTGCTTTAGTTCTTATACGGATACTAATTATACAGGTGATATAGATAATAATTGTAATAATAATAATGATATCAATGATAACAATGATAATAATTATAATAATTATAATAATAATAATAATTATAATTATAATATAGTGTTGTGATGTATGCCGGGGGAATGATGGGCGGGGCTGGAAGGAGGTTGGATGCACTGTCTGTAGAGTCTCCTTTATCACACTGTAAGCATTTTATAAACTTCAGAGGTCACAACTTTTGATCCAATTGATCCAACTTGATCCCAAAATTAAAATCATAATTGCAGTGTATTATTACCACAGAATATCAAAACTGAATTAGATTAATCTGTTGTCTGTATAAGATGAAGTTCAATGCTTGCTCTTGAGATATACAAGTTCACAACACAACGAAGGCCCGTGGAGAAAATTTTTTTTCTTCAAAATTTAAATTTGGACGAAAATGTTGAAAAAATGTCACCCCCAGTTTACCCATGAGTTCCACAAAAAAGTCAGAACATATATACGAATGTCTTGGTCTAGCCGTTTTGCCGGCTATAGGGAACATATAAACGAATGTCTTTGTCCAGCTGTTTTGCCGGCTATAGGGAACATATAAACGAATGTCTTTGTCCAGCTGTTTTGCCGGCTATAGGGAACATATAAACGAATGTATTGTTTTATTTTACAGAGAGGAATTGAAAAATTTTCTGTTTTGAGAGGGGTACTATTATTCATCTTGCTTTAAAAAAGTACTTAATTGATTGTCTTGCATTATCAAAAGTATAACATTGAAATTAGAGATACAACAAGAAAAAAGTGATTCCTCTTAAAACAACTACAAAATTTACAGACGCTACTTTTTAGTTATGACATACTTGCCGTGGCTGGAACTACTTTATGGTTGATTGCTGGCACAAAGTTCCTCTTGGGATTGCATGATGTAGTTAATTTTGCTACTCATCGACCTAATCAGGACGTAAGTATAATGTTTCTACCATATTTAGCTTTGATCAAAAGGAACCGAACACCCGCAACAAACTCCACTAATCACTAATCTGTTTATGCATATCTTTGTAACCTAATGGCGTAAATCTTTGACATTTCAAACATAGACTATTTGTAATAGAATTCATGCAATAAAACATAAAAGGTCTGTAACTTGAAAAGATATAATAAGGATTAGAAAATCCGAATTTTTTTGGAGTATTTAGTTCCCTTCAGCTGATTCATTTTTAATATCTATTATTCATGCATATATTTACCAATAACCACCATAGTAACCAATCTTAATAAACAATAGAACATGTTCTAGACTTATTTTCAGAAGATACATATATTTATATATACTAGAAATTCAAGGCGCTTCGCGCCCTTCTTTCTAGCCTTAGAGGGCGCTTCGCGCCCATCTTCTAAATTAGTTGTAAACATGTTCTCTTTGTGTACATCGTAAAACTAAACAAAAATAATTCGCGGATTTTTACAAAAAATTTCGCGGATTTTCAAAATTTTAAAAAATTTAATGACGATCGAATTTTGATAGAGACAAATATTTGAAATTTTGATGATTCATAAACCTTCCCTGGGCTCCCTAGATGTCCCACAAAAAATTTGGGCCCGATCGGTTCAGCCGTTTTGACGTTTATTGGATACAAACAAACAAACAAACAAACAAACAGACAAGCCAAATTTATATATAGATGTAAATTTCCCAAACTGGCAAAAAAAGGTTTTACTCTCACAGGCAGAAAAACTCGGGTTTGGAAATTAATTTCGATATATTTTATATCCTCTTCAGTCCTACATCGAAAATGACCGAAATTATTACAAATTAAAAATAAAGATAATATAACACATAACTTTCTAGTAATTTATAAAAAAGTAAGCAAATTAGGGAAGGTTTTTTTTTTGAAAAATGGAAAGCGTAAGAATTATACATAAATATATATATATATACCAAATATTTTTCCAACAATGTTTAATAAATTAATTTTTTATCACATTATTAAAAATGTTTAAGTACAGGGTTACCCATAAATGATTTAAAGACTATATAAAGACGATATAAAACTCTTAGAATGGACAATTCAGAGCTTACATTTTCTCTTCTGCCCTGGTAATAGGCTTTTGATTATGTACAATCTGTTTAGACGTGTGACGAGGTGGTGTTTAAGTTTTCTGTGTACATAATTATTCTTGGCTGGTGTACTGTTGTACTGCTTACTCTCATCATTGTCTGTACAAGGTGTAATAAAAACTAATAACTTATAGGGCCTATACCGGGGAGTAAGGAATAGAAGGGAGATACAACTGACGCGGTTCCCCCTACCATATGATTATGAATGCTTTTCAGACGGGTACTCCATTTATATAAGAAATATTCAGAATAGGTTATTGTATACGCGGTAATTGTACATCAGACAAATATTCCTTATTCAAATGAAGTACCGTCTGCAAAGCATGTATAATCATATGGTAGGGCGAACCGCGTCAGTTGTATCTCCCTTCTATTCCTTACTCCCTGATACACGCAATTCCATCATTTTTGAACTTTTCAAAATTAAGTCAATCTTATCGATCTCAAAGATTTTTCTAAAGGCCAGACTATTTAATATTTAAAATTGAAGAAAAAAAGTTCCGTCAATTCTTTTGACAAAAAACTTAAGATCCTAAAAAGTGAATACCTATAGTAATTGCGTATAAATCCTTGATGACGTCATTATCGATTGTTTGAATTCTCATCTTTAATTCATAATTTCATTTAAATTCTTATTCAATTCGGAGATTGTTCTAATTGAATTAATCCTTAAATTATAGATTCTGCAAGGCGATAATATCAATATAATGAAGACGACTTTTTTATTTAAGTTTTACTTGTTAGCAAGCTTTTTTCGAATTACAAGTTGACCAGTAATTAAAGAGAAGCTTATTTAATTTACAGCTTCTCTTTGTTTCCATGTTTTGTTTATACATGCTGTATAAAGCTGAACATAAATCGAACTTGAAATCAAAAGTCGTCTTTATTATATTGATATAATCGCCCTCCATCGTATATAAAATTTTATCGATTTTATCTTTTTCCATTTTTATTAATTAATCAAATTGATTTTAGATTCTGCCAATGTTGCTGCTACCTAATATGCTGTAAACCCTGCAAAGAACCAGCAACAAGAGATGTTTAAAACATAAATATATGTTTGGGTGGATTCAATAAACGTTAAATTGTACTAAATCGATGAGGCCAAATATATTTTCCTAGAGCTAACAAAGCACATGAATATCTTGGGAAGGTAAAGGGTCGGTTAGAATTTAGGAAAGTCATAATTTTTTTCTCTTTTTCTTTTTAAAAGTTCACAAACAAAAACAGGAAATTCCGCAAAATAGTATTAGACAAAGTTTCACATGTAACACTAAAATATTACAAGCAAGAGATGGACGAAGTGGCCTAGAGCCTAGAATTTAAGATTAAATTGGGATATTGAGCCATATACGCCTAGCACAGAGAACCCCCATAAACACGAGTATTAAGTGAATCGAATTTGCAATATCACCTAAGCATAAAGGATTGTAGAACGAAACAATTTTGTTACTGAAAAATCATATTTTTAAAGAAAAGCTATAAAGAGGAAACCCATTTTAACAAATTTACCAATAATCAACAATATTTTAATAAAGTATTCAAATGTTATCAACGAAGTTAAATAAACAATATAAGGAAATAATTTTGTTGATTGTAAAGATTTAAAGAACAATTTATTTTTAAAATCACAGAAAATACATTACATTGTATAAGAAAAAAATAAAGACTTTCATATACAAGGGTCTGAAAACTGTTCCATCAATTCTAAAAAGATGAAAAATTTAATCTTATAATTGAAAAATAACTCAAATTTTAAGACAACTTTTTTTACACTTTTCCAACCCTTCTGACCATGTATCCACGTGATCGAAAGACCAAATGGCCCTGGCTTGGCAACCTAACAGTGTCAGAGATTTATCTGCTAGTTTGCATAACAATGTATTTTCAAGTACGTCCTGGGAATGTTCAAAGTGAATAATTGATCCAAAGAATAGAAATCAACTACTAATCAGCGTACTTTTTAAAAAGAATCTATATAGGATAAATTCAGTCATTAAGACAATCATCATCATCATCATCGTCATCAACGTCATCATCATTATCTTTATATATCTATCTTGATAGGATCACCAGTTGGACTGCTCAATGTCTTCATTATTATCATCATCATCACCATCTAGTTAAATATATCTTGATAGGACCACCAGCTGGACTGCTCAATGTCTTCATTATTATTATCATCATCATCATCATCATGATGGACTGCTTAATGTCTTCATTATTATTATCATCATCATCCAGTTAAATATATCGTGATAGGATCACCAGTTGGACTGCTCAATGTCTTCATCATTACGGACGTCATCTTCTTCTTTGATAGGATCACCAGCTGGACTGTTCAAGCTCAATGTCTGCATCATCATAATCATCTTAAGATCATCTTCATATTTATTATCGTCATCATTATCATTATCTTAAGATATGTATATCACCAGTTGGACTCCTCAATGTCTTCATGAGCATCTTCATCTTCATTCTGTAAAAAATCTTAATTAAAACTTACAAAATGGGGTCATATGTCAAATCTTCTTTTAAACTCAACTTGGCTGGAAATGTATCTAATTTTGTCGAAAATCTTTTAAAATTCTCAAAAACTGTTTGGAAATATATTTTCATTCTTTAAACTGTTTGGAGATGTATTTAACTAAAATAAAACTTTTTAACCTGTGTTGAAACAAAGAAATCGATGGAAGGAGTCGGAATTGCCATGACTCGGTTTACCCAGATAACATATAAGAAGATATATCCTGAACAAGAGAAGAGTGATTAGAAGATATTATCAAACCTTCGATCAGTTTCGAAGAAAATGAGAAACACTCATGACCAGTTTAAAACTGAAAAAAATGAGGAAATTTCTGTCTTTTTAGACTATTACTTTAGATCGTTTTTAAACAAATCCCAACACTACTCTCTAGAACTAGATTTATATCATTTTCTTCTCAATATATTTCGCCAAAAACTTTGGCATCATCAGGAGTTCGTCCTATAATATAACAGATATAAGCAAAGAATAAAAATAAATAATACAAACAAAGCAACTCAAATAAACAAAGAAGAGAACAAAAATAAAAAATCTTTTTATGTAATAAGGAATTTTTCAAAATGAATATTGTCAAAACACATAAAACTTAGAAAAATTAGAAAACCGTACCTTACTCTTTTGAAGTGTATTGAATGACTGGAAATGGATTGACTAGTTTATGGGCGTATGACTGTCGTAAATATTTACAAGTAAAGGGTCAATCTTAACTACAGTAACAGTTCATTTTCAACTCACCTACAAATGCCAGGCAGTAGAAACCCCGGTCAAAATGGTTCCAGACAGGGTCCATGTGATACCATGGTTGTTGATACATATTCACACGGCTGATTAACTGATGAATTCAGGGATACAGATCTGATAAATTGATGAGGTCAGGGATTAACTGATGGGTTCAGAAATACAGCTGATAAATTGTTGGGTACAGGGATTAACTGATTACTGCAGAGTACAGCTGACTAACTGGTGGTTCAGAGATACAGCTAATTATCTGATGGTTCAGGGATACAACTGATTAACTGATAGATTCAAGTATTCACCTAAATAGCTGATAGGTAATATCTAGGCAAATTATATCTATAGAATCACTGAAACCAGAGCTGATTAAACCTAGAATAGCAGGTACCAGAGCTGATTAAATGTAAGAAAGATGTCGCTGAGCTATTCAAATACAGGATAGCTGCCACTAGAGTTGATTTGGTTTTAACTAGTCAGCAGTTCAAACGAATGCTGATCAGGTTTAGGATAGCTGACACCGGAGCTGATTAGGTTTAAACTAGCTTACAGTAGAGTTGATTAAGGTTGAATAACTGAAACGAGAGCTGATCAGGTTTAGAATAGCTGCCACCGGAGCTTATTTGGTTTAGACTAGCTAACAGTAGAGTTGATTAAGGTTGAATAACTGAAATGAGAGCTGATCAGGTTAAAGATAGCTGGCACCGGAACTATAATTAGGTTTAGAATAGCTTATTCGAGAGCTATTTAGGTTAGAAATAGCTAACACCGGAACTGATTTAAAATAGCTGTCAGCAATACTGGATTAGAATGCCTGATATAAAATCCAGTTAACTGAAACCAAACTTTAGAATGGGTCTATATTTGACTTTAAACACTAAAGATATACTGATGAGTGTTTAGGTAAGTGAGTGGAAGTATGGTTATATCTAAGGTTATGTCTAAACATATACCCAGTGTTGTCCGTATTGCTTGTATATGCCTAAACTACTGCCTGAAAACTGGTTTCAGGTATTCTACTCTAAACTCAACCATTCTTGCTAAACTAACCATCTTACTACCTAACTAACTTTAAATAATAAGAGAAAGCAAGCTCATAAGTTCTATCTTTTCATCTATCTACAATCTAAGCATGAAGTGAAAAATATCTATTGTTTATAACATATATCCTAAACAACTAACCAATCAAGGATCTCAAAATCTCTAACTTCTAACCTATAATATTTCTATAGCTTATCACAAACTTACCATAATATAGTTCTCAAAATTTCCATTTATAATCTATATATATATATATGCAATGTAACTATAATGTAACTATGTTTATCTATATTCTATATATCTATCTACAAACTAACTATATATCTACAAACTAACTATATATATATATATATATATACAATGTAACTATAATGTAACTATGTCTATCTATATTCTATATATCTATCTACAAACTAACTATATATATACAATGTAACTATAATGTAACTATGTCTATCTATATTCTATATATCTATCTACAAACTAACTATATATATCTACAATGTAACTATAATGTAACTATGTTTATCTATATTCTATATATCTATCTACAAACTAACTATAATGTAACTATGTCTATCTATATTCTATATATCTATCTACAAACTAACTATATTTAGCTCAAAATGTTATTCTCTATTTTATCATGCTTTGATAATATCTGGCCTCGACTGGGAATGAAATCTTATTTTGATAAGATTATTTAACAAAAACTCATTTTGATTATCAAATGCGGTAATCATACTTATTCTTTTGTTTGTTTATTTGTGTCAGTGGGGTATATTAAAAATTCTTGGAATGATTCTATTTATAGTTTATTGATACATTATAAAAAAATCCGTTAATTTTTTATTAAAAACTTGTATAATTTCCCTCATCAGTGTCGCCAGTTCCTTGATCTTGATCGTCAGTGATCTCTATTCTAGGGAGTAAACGATCTTCTATTGGGATTAATCGCTTGTAGGTCAACCCACTAACTACCAGGGATATTACTAGAAATAAACAGTAAAAATGAAAACAATAATGTTCAGAATTAGCACTTTTATACTGTGGTCGTCCTTTATATCAATACAATGAAGACGACTTTTCTTTTCAAGTTTTTTCTAACAATCTTTTTTTAAATTAAAAGTTTAAAAGTAAACCAAGAGAAACTGTTAATAAGCTTAATTACAATTCAAATTGAACTCGAGAGTCGTCTTCATTGTATTGATATATACGCCATCTGTAGATAAATTCGTGACGATATTTCCTTTATTGTTGCTCAGTTACAGTTTTAAAGGGCATGAATCAGTCTACAGTCTACAGTCTACAGTCTACAGTCCACAGTCTACAGTCTACGGTCTACAGTCTAGTCTACAGTCCACAGTCTACAGTCTACAGTCTACAGACTACAGTCTACAGTCTACAGTCCACAGTCTACAGTCTACAGTCTATAGTCTAGTCTACAGTTTACAGTCCCTTTAATGAAAATTTTTGATAACTGTATATCATACCTAAAGAAAGAATGCAAAGTCCAAAAGTCCAGTAAGTCCCGTAGCTTTGATAAATCTTTGAGACGAATATTGGACCGCAGATTCGTGCTAAATACAAATGATACTTTAAAAAGAAATAAATAAATGTTACACTGGATATATGGAGGTTTATTTACGCAAACAGGGGCTTATCTAGGATTTTGTCCAGGGGGCGGCAGTTAGGACCTAAAAAACTACCTTAAACCTATAGATTTCATTGGTCCAATGAGAGGGGGGGTCTCAGTCCCAATAGCCCCCCCCCCCTCTGAATCCGCCTCTAGACGCAAATGTAAAATGTTTTATTCATATTACATAAGTATTATTACAAGTATTATAACAATTGAAGATTGATTTTTTATGTTTAATAAAGAAAGGCGAAATTAACACTTGTAAAGTATTGTTTATTCCTTACTTGGTGCTTTTTTCTGTCATTTCTACTTTGTCTTTGACCTGTATTTTTTCTTTTTTTCAGTCTGTATTTTTCAAAGTGTATTTGTATTATTTTCTACCAGCATTTTCCTTATTTTCCAACCTGTATTTTCCTATTTTCCAACCTGTATTTTCCAATTTTTCAACCTGTATTTTTATTATATTTCAACCTGCATTTATTTTATTTACTAACATGTATTTCTCTTTTTTTCCCAACCCGTATTTTTCTTTTTTTCCCAATCTGTATTTTCCTTATTTTCCAAGCCGTATTTTTCTTATTTCCCAGCCCGTATTTTTCTTATTACTTAACCTGTATTTTTCTTATTTTTCAACCTTTATTTTTCTTATATTTCAACCTGTATTTTTCTCATTTTCCAACCTTTATTTTTCTTATATTTCAATCTGTATTTTTCTTATTTTCCAACCTTTATTTTTCTTATATTTTAACCTGTTTTTTTCTTATTTTCCAACTTGCATTCTTTTAATTTTTCACCCTGTATTTTTTCTGGTTTAGGTTTGTAAAAATTTTTCTCCTTCACCCTGTAAAACCTTTACCTAAGCTTCCAACTGATGTAAAAAGACCCATCCAGACGCCCTGTGGTCGGGGCCCAATCAGCTAGGGTTAAAAAATTGTTTTTATGGAAAATGTTGAAAGTTTTATCAGAATCAAATAACACAATTTGAGTAATGATTTTTCAAATTGATGAACTAACTAAAATGTCTGTCAAAACTTTTTAAAGAATACTTTTAAATACTAAATATTTCTTGATTCCATAGACGACTCAATATACAATCCGAGTTCAATATAAAATTTAAATTAATAAAAATATTTTATAGACCAGACTTTTATAGAGAGAAAAAAATCACAAAAAATTAGATAATGATAATATCTTTTTCAAAATTTAAAATCATTGATATATTTGATGAAGGTGTACCTTACTAAAAAGTGCTTGACAAATTGCCATGCAGTACGGGAAACTAATGGCTGAGATTATGTACCCCAAATAGAACTGGACTTCTGTTATGGCAGGGGTAGTTTTACACCATTCTTAACATGTAAAAAATATTTCACTCAAACTATACTTGCGGGATTCAGCAACTTGGTTGGGTTTGGTTTGGAAATACAAATGGTGGACATTATTTGCCATAGTTCACCTTCGTATTTCTGATGCAAAAACTAGAGTTTTCAATTCTAAGAAATGAAAAGAAAAAATCTTTTTTAAATAAATAAGTTGTATAAAAAGTACATATACACAAAGTAAAAATAATTCAAGATTGGATTGAAAAAGAAATGTAAAATTGTTTTTACAGACCTAGATCACAACCCCCCGTCCCTGATTCGTCTTGACATGAGTCCTGAGTTCGTGTAAACATTTGATAGTAGAGATGTAGTCCATCCCCATCCCCATCCCCTCCTTCTCCTCCTTCCTATAAAAATTACACATCTCAAAAAACGAATAAATGTCGTCGTCCAGTACAGATAGGTAAACAGAGGCACAGACTAGTGTCCCACTACGGTAAACTGGATGTCCTGGTAAAAGTCAGTGATCTTTTTAACTTTGAAACCCATTTTTACCGATTAAATGTAGATTTCTCGTATTAACTACTTTATACTTTTCTTGAGCTATGCGTTCTAAATTTTTAGTATGTTTTTAGTATGTAAAGTCCCATCCGCTTATTTTGGACGAGAGATCAAAATATGACTGAAAATATTCCGTTATAGACTGGATAGGCTTTAATGTTGTTAGTTTTACGTGATATACTCTATTCTATCAAGAAAAGATATGTTTTTTACTTTATCAATTTATTTATTTTTAATTTTTTTATGAAACAAATTATTTAATACATGTATTTAATGCAGAATGCAAGAATGCAGATAATCTTCTTGTTTCCTGGCTGTCCTGTTTTGCTCATTCAATTAGCTGCATACCCCCGCCCCCCCAGGAGGGTTAATATGCAGTTTCGAGAGCTCATCAGGCAATTTGTAGTATTTCAATATCAGCTCTTGAGTTTCTATATTTATTCCAGTTGTTTTTGATATCGGCCATCTATGCAGGTTTATTGCTGACATTGTTGTAATGAGAACTTCTCTTTGTCAGCTGCATTACATGTATCAGTGTCTTGCAGTAATTTAGAAAGAAATTAAAAGACCTCCTAGCCTTAACTGCATTCGGCTAGGTTCAAGGTGATTTAGATGTACCCCCTAGGAAAGGAACACCCAATGAAACCAATGATGATCTCTCTCAGAAAGTTTTGATTAAGATTCCACAGCAAAGCAGTTTCTGAGTTCCGCTATATCTGCTCGTGAAGTAGGATAAGGTTGGAATTTAGGAGGTAGGCGGATGAGGATGGGGGTGTAAGGGTAACAGGTATGAGATATACCATAGTCCTCACTTTTAACGTGTATTCCCACGTGGACAGATTTTTTAAAGAAAAATAACCCGCTAAGCATGCTGTCCCATCGCTTTAAAACACGGGGAGTGTGTCCTTTGCCTATCATTGTCAGAGGTCTGCCATGAGTAATCCAGTTTCCATTGTGAGGAGGGTGAAAAACCAGTTTATGGTATTTGATTTAAAGTCTATTGAATTGGCTCTGTTCCCCCTTAAAACCTGTACCGGCGTGTACTTCATCCCTGAATTTTTGAGTTTCTGTATTCCTTCTGTATTCATATTTATTACTATATCTTGTTCGGGATTAGTCACGCTTTCCACTCAGTTGTGGAGAGAAGTGTCCTTGCTATCTAGACTTCTATACAAGTACAACGCACATAGCGCCCTTTCTCTCAACAGGCTTAGAAAGCTCTGCTGACACCCTTCCTCTGGGAGGTTCGGATACACACTCAAGAAAAGATATGTAAATCGTGCCTATGCCTATGATTAGCCTCTTTTTATATCCACTGTGGAAACTTTAAAATTTCAGAGGCCGCGTTTAAAGAATTTGAGCCGCGGCTTAATTTGAGACGCTGCTCAAATACGGTTGGTTTAACTTAAAATTGTATTCAATGTTTCAAGATTTAAGCCGGAGCTCAATTGAAAACGGTTTTTGGCAGATTTGAGACATGGCTCAAATTTATTAAATTATTAAAGTATAATTTGATTGATCCATTAAAGTTTGACCCTGCCATGGGTCCTGCTCCCAGGTTATCCAAGCGGAATTAATTAAATCCCTCACATACCAAATAATCTAGATCACTGCATGATCACTGGATTCAAAAGTAAATGACTTAGCTTACAAAAATTGTTCTCTTGAAAAAATCATTGTAGTCGGTTAAGTTAAAGTTTCTCTGTGTACTGAAGAATAAAAAATAATTGTAGTCGGTTTAAGTTAAAGTTTCTCTGTGTACTGAAGACTAAAAAATAATTATAGTCGGTTTAAGTCTAAGTTTTTTTGTGTACTGAAGAATAAAAAATAATTGTAGTCGGTTTAAGTTAAAGTTTCTCTGTGTACTGAAGAATAAAAAATAATTGTATTCGGTTTAAGTTAAAGTTTCTCTGTGTACTGAAGACTTAAAAAATAATTGTAGTCGGTTTAAATTAAAGTTTCTCTGTGTACTGAAGACTAAAAAATGAACTATAGTCGGTTTAAGTTAAAGTTTCTCTGTGTACTGAAGACAAAAAATGGATTGTAGTCGATTTAAGTCAAAGTCTATGTAAACTGAAGACAAAAAAATGGACTGTAGTCGGTTTAAGTCAAAGTCTATGTGAACTGAAGACAAAAAAATGGATTGTAGTCGGATTAAGTCTAAGTCTATGTGAACTGAAGACAAAAAATGGATTGTAGTCGGTTTAAGTCTAAGTTTCTCAGATCAAAATTGGAAACTGATAGATTCTATGACATGTATTAATTGATTTGAAAATTGAATAGAATATAGAATGAAGAAAATAGAAAATTTTCTGAACCTTACATCTGGTTTTAGAGGAGGAAAATCTTTACCCATCGGTAGCATTACAATCCGCCCTAACAGCATAGGGATCAAACCAAGACCAATGTAAACCTAAAATGTTTATCTTTTCATTAAACTTAAAAAATCTTCTTAAAATTTTAATGATAATTTTAGTTTTTCGATTTTTTTTTTCAACTCATGCAGTACTCAGTATATGAGACTTTATACGTTGGTAGGCGATTATATCAATATAATTAAGACGACTTTTGATTTCAAGTTTGATTTATGTAAATTAAAAAAATCTTTTCTTTAATTACTTGTAAACTTGTAATTCGAAAAAATCGTGTTAACAATTAAAACTTAAATAAAATGTCGTCTTCATTATATATTATCGCCTACCACCGTATAACGAAAAAAAGCGAAAGATCAATAATAATTTTAAAAATGTTATTGATTTTTTATCCTATGATAGCAACCGCGTACAATGTGTACACGTGTTTTTGTTTTTAACTTACCAATCTTTCATCCATAAGCCTTGTAAGTGGCGCAACAGAAGCGTATGCAAACATTGATATAACAGCTCCCACTGACATCAGGATTCCAAGGTTTGTGATACTTCACAAGCAAAAATTCAAGAAACTCATCTAAATCTATAAAAAAACATGTCTCTAGAGACATCTGTTGATGAAAAATTAAACTAATTGAATTGTGCTTTCCTTTTTCCTTCGTCCCAGCCCAGCTGGTCCATGCAGAGCGGGGTTCCAATGGTTTCCAGAAGGATAAAATTGAAAAGAAATACAAAGAATGAAACAGCACAGGAGGTAACAGCAAACAGGTCTGGTCTGGAAAAAAAGGTAGAATTGAGCATCGTCTATATTACTGTTAGGAGGCTCTTAAAGAGTTTGAGATGGATCATATTTTGAGATTGTGTGCTCTTGCAGTTTGGTTTTTATTATTATTGCTTTTATTCCCTTTGATAGAGGCAAAAAATGGGGGCCTTTAAAAGTAAAATAATACCCTGAATGTTTATAACGAACAAAAAACAAACAATGCACAGCTCAATCTTTTGGACGAGGTATAGTCGTCGTCGTATTTATCAAAACAATGAAGGCGACTTTCGATTACAAAATTTTTATTTCTAACAAGATTCCAAACAGCTTGGAAACACATTATCTGGACAATTGTAATTTGAAAAAAGTTTATTAAAAATCAAAATTTATATAACAATGTCGTCTTCATTGAATTGATATAAACGCCGACCACTGTAATTAAAAAAATGAATTATTACCTTCCCAGTTCTATTTTCTCATTATCGTTTGTTTTAATCCTCTCTGCTTCTATTTTAGATATATAGTGCTCCGAAAATATTCCAGGCAGAAACAGAATAAAACTGTTTAAGAAATCATTTTAATAATATTTTTTTATTTGGTTTAAAATTAATCATTGACAACTATTTTAGGGGAAAGTTGCAGGATTTTTACTTAACCAAGGGTTTCCGACACCAATTTTGCCTATGGTAGAAAGGGATGTTTTGTAGGCAAAATTGCAAAATTGCAAAATTGAGATATCTTGTGATTCAATAAAGTGTTCAAGTTCCCGAATAAGTAGTTTATCGTCTTTAGAGATAAAAATGCCAGAATTTTGTTCACAAAAACTTCGCGGAGAGTTATGATATTTTACTTAGTTGTGGAAAGGGGCCATGAAGTAACTTAATATCCCGCTGTTGTGGGAATCATATGTTGGCAATTTTAATACTGATTCTCAAGATTCGTGAAAATGATTTAATTTTTTTTTTTAAATGGTCTTTAAATATCTGAGAGGTTTAAATAACTTCAAAATAGTTGTTCAAAACTTTTCTACAACATGCTATACTTTAGAAGCTATTATTGCCCATATGTAAATGTTCGTGAAAAGGCGGTAAGAGAGTGAATTAACAAGAATACCTAAAACTTATTAGGATGTGGTTTCCTAATTTTATAAAATTAAGATTGACCTTATTTCAAACATTAAGCTATCCCTCAAACATCTGAAATATTACAATTTCCTGGACTGATTTCTGCATAAAATGGTTCCTAATGATTCCAACACCAGCACTCAACCAGCCGGATATAGTGTACATATCAAACTGTATTTCTCCAGTAGGGTAATCATGAGAGCATCCTACAGGTACAAGGGCGGACTGTATAGCGGGCCCTGAAATATGCAAATATAGGAATTAAAGTGATAACACTTCTCAAATTTAAAAGTTGCATGTTCGATTTACAACAGCACCTTTTAAACCTATATCTGAGCAACATCATGACGACATTTTTCCATTTGGAATTTTTTTTTTAACAATAAAGAATTTTATTTAAAAAACTGAATAGTATCATATTCTCTTCTATCATTATTCATTATTCATTTCTAACTTTGGCAAACAAACTGGGCTTAAGGCAAATTCCAACATTAAACACCCCAACTTTGATTTTTCTTTTTTTGGATATTTTCTTTCAAATATCATGCCTTCCCCCCTCCCCGGTTCAACTGTCAGAAAGACTGGAAATGTGTTAAATTCAGGCATATTTTATCTCTATTGCATATATCCTCAAGGCAATGACAGATGGACGGATTTTTTGGTAATGTCAATTTGGTAATGACAATTTGGTAATGTCAATTTGGTAATGACAGTTTGGTAATGACAATATGGAAACGGCAGTTTGGTAATGACAATTTGGTAATGACAGTTTGGTAATGACAATTAGGTAATATCTATTTAGATATGACAATTGTGTAATGACAATTTGGCAATGACAATTTGGTGATGACAATTTGGTAATGACAATTTGGTAATGACAATTTGGTAATAACAATTTGTGTAATGACAATTTGGTAAGTTCACAAAAGTGATATTTTGGTAATGACATTTTGGTAAGATGAAATTTTGATAACAAAGTATACATATTTGCAATTATTAATAAATAATTAATTACATTATGTTGGATTAGGTAAGGTAAAGTTAAGTGACAGCTTTTCGTCTCATAATATACAAGGATTTCCCAAATGAGGTCTGTCTTTTTTCAAAGCTCTTGAATCATATTTTGCCCTGAGAGGCTGAGACAGAACTTTGTTGTGCAGAACCAATTTAAAGAGAATGCCAGGGGCTGGAACTTAGCTACCTGTCCGTGTATTTTAGCCTGAGTGTACACTTAGGACAGTTTACTGATAAAGGATATTAAGAGATTTTGGCCTACATACAGTACAACTAGCAAATATGCAGTACACTTTCAGAGTACAAGAGTATGGGGAGGTTTTATAACTTAAATTTACTCATTTTTCTCAGAATATTTTATTAACCATGAAATATTGCTCTGTAAAAAACTGCAATAGTATGTTTTCCTGTGAAAATGTAATCCTGCACACTATAAAAGAGCAGTGGATTGCAATAGTCAAATGGAAAACAAATTCTCCTAGCCGGATATGCAATCGGCATTTTTTGAAAAAAAATGCTTTAGAAGTCCTTTTGGTAAAAAGCTATGAAACAATGCTGAATTCTGATAACTTCCTCCATTGTTTCGTTAGCAAACTCCTCAAGTCACTTTCCAGAGAAATCACGATTAAATTAATCTACTTTCAAACAAAAAATTATCTCGTACCTTCGTCTTCAAACAGAGGTTTAAGGGTACCAATGTGAACCATACATCCCTCTCCATTTAAAGGAAAAGTTGAAATTATGTCTCCAGTTTTATTAAGTTTTTTGATTGAAAACCTTTTTCTGCTTAAATGAAAATAGATATTTTCAGAAATCACCTCCGAGTTCTGTAAAATTCAGATTCACCTTTGAAAGTGGAGTACATGGCCTCTACCATTACATTGGTCGACCACATGACGTCTCTTAATTTTGGTCGTACTTTGGTCGTATGAATTATCTATCAGATAAGAATTTAGCGTGAGACATCTGGCGGCTAAACTATCGTCCTCCAAAGTACGACCAATGTTCATACATTTTTAAAGAGAGAACGGGTTCTGTACAATTAGTAATGTATCATCATTACTCTATACACTACAACCTCGTTGGAGAATGTCAACTTAATCTAAATCAATCCTTTAATTGAGGTTTTGCATAAATATTTTTTAAATAAGTATTGTCACTGTTCTGAGCTTCCGTTAAGAAATTTGAAAGAAGAAAAAAATGATCTTGCTCGTTCTTGAAAAACATCAAAAACCTGGATTTCTAAAAATTTCTTAGTCACAGAAACAAGGATAACTTTATCAATTTTTGCGAACACTCTCTTTAAAGAAGAATTGATAAAATAATTATATTTTCCAATGACCAACGATCAACCCAAAATAAATATGAATTTTACCTATCATAAATCCGAGAGCCTGGAACAAACTAAAAATGCAAAATAAAGAAATCTAATAAAAACCAACAATATTTAAAGAATATTTGAACCTATTTGTGTAAACAAAAATATATTATAAAATTTTTTTAATATGACAGCTTCTGTGCCAAGTAATGTAACAATGTAAAAAAATATGGCACTTATTAATTCATTTTGGGAGACTTTTGTAGACATTAAACGCTTCCAAACCAGAACTGAACTTTTCAAAAATATACATTTTAAAAATTTAGAAAAGTTGCATCAACCAAGTTTACGGTTTAGAACCTAATACATCTAACTTTTCCTTCTCTCTGGTGTTCTAACCTGAGGATGGAGATATGCATATTTCGTTCATGTTTCCAGGTAGCACTAGCTACGTAGGATCTGATAGGAGCTTGATTTGCAGAACTGAAATAATTATCAGAAGTGAATATTGTGAAATCGGCATTTTTTCCAGGCACAATTTTACAATTTAGACTAGATAAAAACTATCCCTTCAGGTCATCTGAATTGCCACAATCGCTGATCGCTTCAGATGTTTTGACGTTCATTAAATGCAAGCAAACAAGCAAAAAGATAGACAAGCCAAAATTTTTAAATGTTGGAATCATTGACTGAAGAGATTGTAAGTAGATGTAGTTTCTAGTGCGCCTGCTTTATAGAGTCTAATGTCTGATTTACATTCTTTAAACCTTTGGCGGAGCTACGATGATGCAGCTATTTCTCTTATTCTATCTCAAAATTGATAATGTTTGATTACGAGTTTTAGCTGTAAAGTGAATTTTGCATTAACGCTGTAGGAGAAAAAGACTGATTTAGGCCGGGCATAGAATTATACAATTCAAGTTTGCGTGTTATCTAAACAGTGCGTTAAAGATAATCATTTTGATTTGAGCGATTGATAAATAAATAATAGACAAACGCTAAAAATATAACTTGAACCTATAGGATATTCTATATTTTTGTAGATTTTTTTATCAGTCAACAAATCGGCGTCTTTTCTTGAGACTAATTCATTTTTGAGCTTTGAATAAATCTCAATTTTAAATGAACTTTTTAAAAAAAAACAGCTTACAAAGATTAGTTTGAAGAGAAAATAAAATTGCAGGATATATATCTACCTAATCCCAACCAGTAGTCTAGCCAGGAACATAGCAATATATCGGTATCTACCTCTAGTCTCCACATCTTCATCAGGATCATGAGGAAATAAAGACAAGCACGAGTACATAACGTTCCCTAAAGATAAATAGGAGTACATAACGTTCCCTAGAGATAAATAGGAGTACATAACGTTCCCTAGAGATAGGCAGGAGAAGAAAACGTACCCTAGAGAAAAACAGGAGAATATAACGTTCCCTAGAGATAAATAGGAGTACATAACGTTCCCTAGAGATAGGCAGGAGAAGAAAACGTACCCTAGAGAAAAACAGGAAAATATAACGTTCCCTAGAGATAAATAGGAGTACATAACGTTCCTTAGAGATAGACAGGAGAAGAAAACGTACCCTAGAGAAAAACAGGAGAATATAACGTTCCCTAGAGATAATAGGAGTACATAACGTTCCCTAAAGATAGACAGGAGACGAAAACGTACCCTAGAGAAAAACAGGAGTAAATAACGTTCCCTAGTGATGAACAGGAGTATATTACGTTCCCTAGAGATAAACAGGAGTACATCACGTTCCCTAGAGATAAGCAGGAGTATATAGTGTTCCCTAGAGATAAAAAGGAGAAAATACTTTCTCTGGAGATAAAAAGGAATAGATAACGTTCCCTAGAGATAAACAGGAGTAGATACATTCCCTAGGAATAAACAGGAGTAAATACATTCCATAGAGATTAAGTGTTTTCCATAAGATAAACAGGAGTAGAATTGTTAGAATTTTCTAGAATTGTTAGGATTGTTAGAATTGTTAGAATTGTTAGAATTGTTAGAACTGTTAGAATTAGTAAGGATTGTTAGAATTAGTAAGGATTGTTAGGATCATTAAGATTGTTAGGATTGTTAGGATTAGTAGGATTGGTAGGATTTTTAGGATTGGTAGGATTGGTTGGATTGTTTGTATGTTGGGATTGAAGATGAGTTGCAGGAAAATCAATGGCTCAGGTGCCTCACTTTCATGCACAGACTTTATTTCGAAATTCAGATTAAGCATCTCATTTTCACACTTTCCTGGATGACTTTAGGTAGTCATTTTTTCTGAGGAGGGGGTGGGGTATAGACATCCCCCCCTCGCTACTAAAAGTACGAACCTAGATTTTCATTCTGTTTTTCATTAAAAAGAACCATAATGTTTTGTTTAAAAAGACAAGGTTTCATGATAAAATGATTTAATTTGATTTATTTGATTTAATTTGATTTGATTGTAAACTCAAAACCTTAAACAAATTCATAATTTGCAATTGTTTTTAGTATATATTTTTACCTATTACATATGCAATACATGATATCAGACATATAAGTCGTAGTTTAGTATATAATTTTTTACCTATAACATATGCAATACATGATATCAGACATATAAGTCGTAGTTTAGTATATAATTTTACCTATAACATATGCAATACATGATATCAGACATATAAGTCGTATTGAACCAAACCTGAAACAGTTTCTTATTAAAAAAATACAATGTTTTTCGAGCTTTCATTGTCCAAAGAAAGTTTTAAATTTTTTATTTACAAAATATAAACATTACCTATTCCCGAGCCAACCAAAAATAGGAGAAAAAATGAGCTAAAAAGAAAAATTATTTTCAAATATTTAAATTTAAAATTAACAGCAAATTTCGTATTTGTATTTTGTAATTATATTTCATTGTTTTTATTAATTTATTTATTAAAGGCCAAAAAGACTTGTTAAATATCTAACCTGTCCAAGTGGATTAATGGCTACCATCCAACCAAACAGATTTAGCAAATTTGTCTCTGGTAGATTAGTTAATCTCTTCAAGTAGGGTAGAATTCCTTGATAATATTAATATTAATATATTAGTTAATCTCTTCATGTAGGGTAGAATTCCTTGATAATATTAATATTAATA